CTGCACAGACTTTGGTCTTAATCGACGTGCCGCATTCCGTATTTTCGTCTTACTTTTTCCACTTCTTTACTGCCTTCGACTGTTTCTGATCGATTCCTCTATATTCTTTTGACTCCCATCTCACTGTTCGGTCGCTTTGTGTGCTGGGTCGAAGTGTGGCAACTTGGATCCTTATGCGGTAGTGCCTGGTCCGATATTGATACTGATGATAATGATTGGCCCCGGTCTCATAGCAGTGAATGGTGCGCTGTGAGCGTAAGCTTTTTTTGGACACTATGGACACTAGCATTACTGCTGGGGAACACATACTGATTATCGACGAATTTCGCTGTATGCATAATACATAATAACAATATGGTATAGTATACAATAATATGTTCTCTGGAGATTCCAAAAGGATATGATAACAGACATAAAAATGGCTGTAGCTGTGTGTTTATCAGAGAAAGGCTACTTTGACTGGTAAAAGGGGTGAAGGAAAGCTGGGATCTCCAGTTACCTGTACTCAGTACAACCATGAACTTCAGGATGTAGTCTGGGCCCAAGGACGACCAACTTGCGGGACTTTTCGCATGTTTTACCACCTTCCTCAAAGAGGTTGCTGCGAGGTGAGCAGTGGCGTGAAACACTAAGTGCTCATTCTGTCTGACTGCGCTTACGTCACCCGCTTGTCTTAGAAAACAGGGGAAAGGCAGGGACTTTGCAGTCCTGGCTCTGAACTGCAAACCAGTGTTCATTAGAGCGATGATTTAATGCAACTTCGATGGGAGCTTTTTTCAATAGGGCGAACAAAGCCACTATGGAAAACCCCAGAAAATATTAAGAAAATAACATGGGGTCTGTGTTTTTCATTTTGGGGGATCTTTCTGTTATTATTATTATTATTATTTATACTTTGGGTTCCTAATGGAACATAGGGCTTCAGTAGCACGTTTCCGATGCACTGTGTTCTCGGCGATCCTCTGAACCTTGCTACACGACCGCCCACAAGCTCGCATTTCTTCCTCACACGACCTCCTCCATGTCACCCTCACCTCGGACGCCCAACTTTTCGTTTCCATTTGGGTTCTATTCGACGACCCGGCCTGGAGCATGATGTCCCCAGTCAGCCTTCTCAGTGTATGCCATCTCTACTTCCTTCTGCATATTTGTTCAGCGATAGCTTCTTGCATCGTTGGTCCGTTACCACACCAGAGTTCCTTGTTGCTTATTCTTTATGGCCGTTTCATCCCCAGTAACGGGCGTCGGCAGTTGTTGACGAATGTCTGTAATCTGTTGGAAATGCCCTTCGTAACGTGCGAAATCTCTGAGCCATGCGGAAGCACTAACTTAACGTTGGTGTTGAAAATCCGGATGTTGTTCTTTATGCTAAGTGCAGTGCAGTTGATCTCCATACTGGTTTCAGACTAGTGAACGCCTGTCTTGATTTTCCGATCCTGGCTGGCTTTGACGTCCTCGTCTTTGCCTGTACCAAGTTAGCCAGCCTTCCTTGGTTTATGCATGGCGCGGACATTCCATGTCCCCGCCTTTACTCTTGCTTTCATCGAGAGAAGAGGAGACACATCGGCCAGTTGGCTTCCCGAAGGCTCTCACCAACCGGCGTCCTTTCGCCTCTCCAATTCCAGCGAGGAATAATTTTGTTTTTGTTTTTTATGTCTTGTTCGTGCTTTGAAGTTCCTTTAGAGGTTTGATTGGCTTTAAGGGGCAGAGTTGCTAGCCGTCTGCCCTACCTTCCTCTTTGTGTGGGCTTAGGACTGGCTAGTAACTAGTGGACTAGTTAACTAGGCGAGGTTGGTTACCAGAAATGACAGGATACCTCCAGGTCCATATTATTCTGGAAACAACCCACCTTGACCATTAAACCACTGCCAGTCACCGATGGGCCGCTTTATTCTGCGGCATACTGACACTGCGAAGGTAAAAGAATTGTCAAGCAAGACAACAGTGCAGGAACTCCGGAGCATGGAAACCCGAGCGGTTTCCTTTTGTATTTTTCCGCGTTAAGGAGTTCACTCCTTGTTCTCACTTCACGTACTTTATTGGGTTTGCAATTGACAACGTGGTTATCTTCAAGTGTGTTGCTAGAAGTGTTTCGCATTTGGTTTACATGCGCCTTAGTTGTCGCTAACGGAAACATGCAAGATAGAGTAGCTTTACTCTCCTACTCAGAGTAACTCTAAAAATAACCAATGTGTTAACAATCCACTACGAAAGGCATTAGGAATGTGCTGCTATATACTCGTTAGTCCCAGCGCATCCCATTAACGTTCTATCAGCCAGTAAAGCTCAAACTGTTTGACGCCAGAATTAAGCCCAATAAATTTTGGTTGGCGGGCGCATAACTCTAGGATGTCAAAAGAATCCACTTCAAAGACTTGGGTCATTCAGTCATCTTACGAATCACGCCCTACATTTGTTGGTCGTACTGAGACTACCGAAAAGGAATTGGGTTGCTAGAAGACTGAGGGTGGCCAGGCCAAAACTTGGCATCACTTCGCAGCTTTTCAGGTGCTGCCACTGATCCCCTAGCAACTATGTCTACGCACGTTAAAATTGCTCTGGAGGCCGTTCTGTGGAGGTAATCACCCAATGATAACAACTTGGTCGTTTTCGAACTTGCAGCCTCGTGCATATGATCCGCCGATATGTGACGGAATATCTCTGTGCTCTTGGTGTCTGCTATTCTAAGCAAGTTCAGGACTTCGGTCGAGGATCTCGATACATGTTGTGACAAACAAATCGGTCAATAATCAGCCTTACCGTAGATTGAGTATCGGGATGAGAATGTCTCCACATGTTACATAATACCGATCCCTCATTACCGGAGGTACGAAGGGGAATGGTAAGCCCTGAGGTAGGTCACAGGACTGTGGATGGAGTGTTGGCTGGTCCAACTTCTTGAAAACCTAGTAGCGTCCCTAGATTAACTTTTCGTTTTCTTTGTATCCTAGCCCGGCATCCGTGACTTGGAAATCTCAACAAAGTCGACATGAGCGGTTTCCAAGGCGCATACCGAGATATGAGGTAAAACTTCAGTGGCCTGATTTCCGTTGCTTTTGACATATGGCATGTTAGAATCCCAGATGTCAGATTTCCCTTGGAGAATAGTTGTTATATCTCGCATGACCCACTTTTGTAAGAGGCTAATTATCCGTGAATTCCGCTACAGCGAAGTCTTTGAGGATGTTTCTGAGATGCTTGGTAGCTAAGTAAATAGCCAACAACGTTCGACTCAATGCGCTGTATCTCGACTGTGAAGCAGTAGGCCGCTTCGAAGATAGACAGTGGTCCCAATTACCAAGGGATACACTGTTATCAAGCTACACCCACAGCAATATCTGAAGCGTACGCCACTATCGCCGCTAGTGATTCCGGATCACTAGGCGAGAGGAAAGTTTCCGAACAAAGAGCATGCCTCGGCCTCTGAACGCGTTAGGGGTAGCTTAGGTCACGCGAAATATTCCAGTTCATGCGTGCGGCATATCTATCTCCTAACATAACTACTATATGCCACTTAAGTTTTGAAGATGTTCTGACACAAAACTATACCCGGCTTATTAGTTGATCAACGGTTTTCTGGTGAGGAAACGGGGGGGGGTGGGGCTTCATAACTTCCTGCTCTATGATATCATAACGTATGCATGAGTGGGACTTAAGTATTGTCCTCCCTGCTTATTGATCATCTGTTGGCAGATATAAACTTGTAAGTCAAAAATTCGTGCTTTGGGAGGTGATATGATTGGTCATGAGGAGATGTTCTAGGCGAGCGAACCACAAGAAGCAGTTATTTAGTTCATAAGAAGCCACAAGAAGATTAATAGCTACCACAGACCCAACACCTAAAGGTTCCTGATTGCTATAGCTTAGTAAAACACATTAGTGTCAAGGAAAAATGTTGTCGACAGGAGAAAATAAAGCGTATCCTAACGTAAAGGTCTGTCACAGAGCAGCTGAGAATGATATCAGTGTATATCTGGGAGGTATACAGTTTACGGCCAGATATACGAAAAGGAAGTAGTGTTATTATTCACGCTTTGTGCCTGAAAACATTCCTCAAGTTCACTTGACGCAGGAAGCATTATTTTTTGAGCCTGTCTGGCTCCAATCAGGTCCAGAAATACTTAAGCTTTTTGCAGTGCATCAAACACTGCTGACATACCTGGTTCAGATAGTGTGAAACCAGGATATGACCAGAAGAATAAGCCGTTATGTTGTGCTAACAATAAAATAGTGAATAAGAAAGCATCGGGAAGTGAGCAGAGTGGTAGGACGAGTTGCAAGGTTGGTACTAAGTGCAACGACATAAAGTATGAAATGCCGGCTGCAAAGTCTATGGACTTTGGTCTGAGCCACATAGGGACATGTAGGCTGAGTGCCTGCAGCATTTGGTGCAGTAGGAAGTAATGTTTAAGAAGTTTTAGTAAAGCGATTTAAAATCGGTCGCAATGGACAAAACGTATCCGCCATCTAAGTTCTTTAATAGTTTGAACATTTTCACTGGCTACATTTTTTCAAATCATTTCCCCCCTCATGAACTTTTGTTGACCTTCATAATACCACTTGTTCTCTACATACTTCTACTGTGATGGACTTCCACTAGATTATCCACTCTGATTTGCTTTGTCTGCTTATAACAATCAATTTTGCCCTCACTTAAATGGACATCCTACCTCTCCAGCCTACGCTTGTTGAATGTGACTTCCACCGAAGTCATCCTTCAAATTTTCCTCCCTTTATTTTCAACGCTATTTAACGTTTAATTTAGTCTCTTCACATGACTTTTGACCTAAAGCTATTAATCTTAGACCTACGAGACTGTTTCCTTTTGATTTATTGTGTTATCGCTCATATGACTCCGTTTTGAAGCTGTCATAATAGAGCCCCGGTGATGTGCCGTATTAGGATGTTAATAGCAGCCAGTCTAAAGGTGCATCCTTTCCCTCCCAACATGTTTTAATAACATCCAACCACCTTTAATGAGATGGAAGATAGGTGGTCATCTGGAACAGATGCTTTGGAATCCTCTAAGGACCTGAACGAGCGCTGCTGAATTTAGGACCATACGTGAAGCAGTAGACAGGTTTTCACAAATCCATAAAAGTGACACTGGATTTATTGAAAATTGAGGCTCTCAAGGTTTTTTTTCGCTGCGGCATTTTCGAAAAGTCGGCTTTTACCCGTGGTTTTAACTTCTGACAGATACATCTTACAGGTGAGGCAAAGCAGTATAAGTCAACGTGTTATGTAGAGTATGCAGCGAATTTCTCGTCTACCTGAGCGGTTCAAAGTAGTTCTAAAAGATCCCATGAATTTTCTGAAGCCTTTTTCTATTGGGTGAGTTCAAATAATCTAAAGATTTCTGAAATGAATTGCGCTAATGCTTGGTTTTTGTGTAATGTAGGTGGGGATTTATTTTTTATTCTGGTGCTTACTCAACCAAGACGTTCCGTGTGCTATTCACTCCCAGCCAGGATTTACTTAGAGTGAACTTTGTAAACTTGAGGTTTCAGCCCAAACCTGCTTCGTATGCACATAACAAATCCCTAATCTTTTGGCACAGTTTGAAACTTTTGACACTCGGTGGAAAGGATTAGAAATTTCGGGCACTTTCATGGGTCTCCTGATTTCAGCCTGAAGTGATAGGTGGCTGGGTTATCAACATTTTCCTGGGGATAATCGTTAGGCCAAAACGCAGATAATAACAGGTTCAGGTCAATTCAAGGGGGGTAGTCGGTGTAATTCAGGGCCAACTGCTAAGGTTAGTGTTCAAAAAACGTCGTTTTTAGCGGAGTGCACTGCCTTTTACATTGTCACTCCAAAGAACCTTTAAACACTTCAGTGAAGAAATATTTAGAATGCCACGTCCTACTCATAAAAACTTTATCTTAAATACTACAGGAAGCAGCTAGTTCTTGCTTCAAGCAAGAAGCAGTCCTCCTTAGGGGTGAGTACTAAGTTAATGACACTACTCCCACCTGCCTTATGGCAAGGGGTGTGAAAGTCTGAATCTTTTCCCATTATCATACCGTATGAAAAAGCGAGATCTTATATTAGCATGTGGTATTTTGAATAGCGATCCGGGTATTGATCTCTTCAGTTCTGTTGGTCCTAGGGCTGATTATCTAAAAGGTCGCGGTCAAAGAAAATGCCAGTGAAACTCATTTTTTCAGTGGTCAACGATTAAAACTTGTCACTGAAACTTGCAGTAGCAGTTTCCTCAGTAAATACTCCCAAGAAACTGGATCTTAACAGACACTGCCAGAATCAATACAGGCCACTCGACCTTCTGTCCTTGAAACTGACTGAAATATCAACGCTGAGCAATTTAATTTTTGTAGTATTTGTTGCTTAATACCAAGTGACTTTAAATATTTTGAAGTTATTGGGGATTTCAATTTCTTTAAATATCTTTTCAAAACACATTACGTTCTTATTTGATGTATGCTTTGACTACTGTTAACATTTCCTACACAAAACCCTTTTCATCAAATTATGCAGTGGGAAACGCTGTGAAGAGAATAGGATGTACTTTAGGGTCATCTACATTTTACGATCATTCGTCTCAACTCCCTTGTGGATTGTAACCAGGATGCCTACGCATTTTAGCCTAGTTCAAAACTACATTTGTCAGTTCTGTGGCTTACATTGGCCACTGGTTGAGGGCGGCTAACACGTCCTAACTGCAGACACTAAAAGGTTCTTTCTTCAGGAGGAAGGTGAATTAGTAAGCGGTCTTGCATGCGTATCCTCCTCTACTTGAGGTCATCCACATAGGTCTTTGGCTCTCAGCTTGGAATTGACTCGTCCGGGCAAGGAAGACGCATAGCACTGGTACTAGGAGAACGCGAGTACGAAGCAGTGCTATTTATACAGGCAACTTTTCTAACCCTCCTTTCAGCAAGGGAAGTGGAGTACTTAAACCGTCTTGATGCCTGCCTGTTTACTACATCTCGATATGTCGTCGTCATCAAGATCATCATAACATCAGGCATTAGTGCACAACGGTCCAAGTTCCCACACCTCAAATCAGCACATGAAGTAACAAGGCAATAAAATATCACACGAAGGGAATAAAAATCCGTCAAAGGGAGTAGAATTAGAAAGTAGCAAGAGAGGAAGAAAAACATGAGATTAGGCTTAGTGGTTAAGATGAGAATAATGTGTGTATACATCCCGTCACCGACATCAGTTTTCAGCCGTATCTCGATATGTAACAAAGGGGTTAAGGCTTGTTGAAAAACCTTTTATGTTGCCTCGTACAAAACCTAAAATCTAACTGTTTAACTCGTGTGATTGGTTCCAGATGTCTAAGACTTGCTTCATCTTTGCTTACTTTCAGATGTATTCGCATGTATCCTGGTGATGAATATGGTCGAGGTGCAGGCAAGGTGCTTAATTTGTTTACTCGTGTTTTTTCCAGTTGTAGTTTCCTTCTACACTTTTTTTCATAATTTTGATATTGATCGCTCCATAAATCGGTGATATTGTCGCTTCTGGTTGTTTATATGGTTCAATGTATGGAATTCTTTTACTCGGCTGATCTCCTACTCCCTTTCGGAGGGTTTCATCATGCGTCTTACTACAGTGCATGCAATAGTAAAGCCCATTCATCATTGTTTAATCGTCTCACACCATTTAAGGTAAATTTTTCTTATTTTTTTGACTACACAATCCCACAACCTTGTATCAGTTGGTGTACTAAGGTGTAAACCACACGGCTGTTCTAATTCCAGTTAATAGATGAAAGGGGTATTGACCTCGTAGCTCAACCTCCTTGGGGTATAGACTTTCAAATGTGTTGTGATACTGTCCCCTCTCTCTGTCAGCGGCCGTTTAAGTCTCTGATTAACGAAGGGATCTTGCCCTACCATTTCTCGTTTAATGACGATAGTGGTGGTTGTATGGGAATTTGGTCTTTTTAATGTGTAAGTACGGCATGGAGGTTGTATCCAAGTTATCAGGAAACAATACTTGACTCACGTCCAGTGCTTGTATAAATGTGTGATCTAATTCGGGATAATGCAATATCTGAACTAAGTGTTTATTTTTCGAGGTTTGTTACTTGGATGATGAAATTTTGTGACCGATTGCGTAGGCCTACGTAAGCTGATTATTTATTCTATTGCTCCAGACCTGGTATAACTTGTATATCGTGTATCTCAGCAGCTTCTGAATTAATGGATGCATGGGAACTCACTCTTTCAGGCTCCAAGCACAATGAGGAGAGGAAGCAACCCAAATGTAGGCTGACGTAAAGTCTATTCAGTGACTGCAAGCAGTTGTGGGCACTGAAGTCCAAAGAGATGTGAAAGACAGAAGTGATAGTTGACAGTGGAAAGTTATTGGGCCGTATTAAGAAAACAGGCAAAAAGGTCAATGATTAGTGAGAATATGGCGTATTTAAGGACATTGGCAGGGGATTATCGGTTAGATTATCGAAAATGTTAGCTAGTATGTGTGAGTCAGATGTAATCGCTTCTGACTGATCTCAATCACTGATTATTCCCATCTCCAAAATAGTTGAGAAGTCCTGTTGTGATAACCGCAGGGAATCAGCCTGATGAACATATTGTCTAAAATTCTAGGTTCTATAATTATTAGGTGTCTGGGTAGAGCTCAGAAACAAACCCGACAAAACGAAGCAGGTTTCCGACATGGCTGTCGGTATATTGATCAGATCTTCGCCCTTCGCGAAGCTTTAGAACACAAGCACACACCGATACCCGACACTGGTTATATTTCTCAACCTGAAGACGGCAATAAACTCTGTTGGTTGAGAGGTTTTTGGTAAGTCTCACTAAGAAGGTTCTCAAGTAGGTACATCACTCTTGTGAAGGCTCTGTACTCGAGCACCCATGGGCTTGTTAGAGTTGTCAGGTGGTATGTTGAGCCGTCTCTATCAAGGATGTCTGTTCTCTCCGCTCCTATTCAATCTTATTAGTAACCTACCTATGGAGGTATCCCTGTCGTCGCCCGACATCACGGGGACTGATCTTATCACAGGAGAATCCATGGGGAATCTAGGGTATCCAGATGAAAGTCCTGTTACTTAGTTCGACATTGTGGTTGGGCTTGCTTATCACAATCGCCCAACGAGCTACACGGACTGGAATGCTTGTTCCTTCGTGGTCTTACCATGTCAGAAAAGTTTGTTGGATAGTGGTGAGAGAAAAAGCAGTAACTTTATGTTGTAAGCTGCTACGCTATGATGGGGATCCGAGAGTGAAGTACTGCTGACTGGAGAGGAATGTGGCAGCAGTTAGGTGTTTCCGTTGACTGACTAGCAGTACCACGGTGATACTACCTTGTCTAGAGGAAGCGGACGGGGAGTTAGAAAAGCTTGCCCTTAAAACGCTCACTCCTCCCCACTCTGCAGTCTTCTGGTGTTAGCGCCATCGGTTTTCTCCATCTTGTGTTAGAACAAACAAGTCCCACACGAACCATCCTCAAAAGGCAGTGTTTGACAGGTGTCAAGGATATGTCCCATGGGCTCTAGGGTCCCAAATCCTGCAGGTACCTTAAGGAAAAATAGCCTTCCACAGAATGGGCGACCGTGAAGTGTCAACTGCCCACACACTCCCAATAGTATTCAAGACCCAGTCCAACATCACCTATCCTCCTCAACTCTGTTTCCTCCTTCGCCTCCTGATACTAATGTTAAACCTCTTTCACCTTCCTCAACCTCTCATTCTAAGATCAAAGCCATAGAAACCTCATTCCTAGTCTCCTAAGACCCAACAATCAATTTTATGTTGGGGCTTTCAGGGTCCGACGACTCGGACAGCAAGCATCACTCTCCAGAATTTTGGAATCTCTAGCCATGGATGCGTACCGTGTTTTCGAAACATATACAGAACCCGATTATGGTTATTAGATTGACCTTACTTAGTCATTGTGGGGAATCTTCAAAATTCACCTCTCTGGTACAAGCATAGCATTGAACTGTTAGGCGACGGGTGTTTTTCTCGACTAGTTACTAGTAAACAGTCGTCTATATACTGTTCGAATGAATAGATCTGTTAAAACTAGGGAAAATCGTGAGACCAACTGATACCTATTCGTATTCTTCGCCAACGCGTCCAGTAACTGCAGTTCGGATGATGCAAAGGATGAAGGTCAATGAGGAGCTGAAAATTTTGCTACAGAGCAAAACGTTCAAGTGTAGTTATAATAATAGCAGGTATCTTTAGTGTTGAAGTAAGGAAGCTGATGGAGTTGGAAAAGCATCTGTAGGGTATCTACGGGACTCCGTGCCAACGAACCGACTCAGGTAATCGTCTGTTGCAATTTCGTCCTGACATTCACTTGTTTCTGGCCAGCACTAACTTCAAGCAGAAGGAGAGACCCTGTCTCATATGGCATCCGCCGACTTCAAACCAACGATGAACACATAGATTATGTTGCTATAAGGTATCGTTTGAGAGGATCGGTGGAGGATTGCTGCACTTCCTGGAGTACGTGTTTGAACTGCTACCATAGATGTTTTTGGTAAGTCTCACTAAGAAGGTTCTCAAGTAGGTACATCACTCTTGTGAAGGCTCTGTACTCGAGCACCCATGGGCTTGTTAGAGTTGTCAGGTGGTATGTTGAGCCGTCTCTATCAAGGATGTCTGTTCTCTCCGCTCCTATTCAATCTTATTAGTAACCTACCTATGGAGGTATCCCTGTCGTCGCCCGACATCACGGGGACTGATCTTATCACAGGAGAATCCATGGGAATCTAGGGTATCCAGATGAAAGTCCTGTTACTTAGTTCGACATTGTGGTTGGGCTTGCTTATCACAATCGCCCAACGAGCTACACGGACTGGAATGCTTGTTCCTTCGTGGTCTTACCATGTCAGAAAAGTTTGTTGGATAGTGGTGAGAGAAAAAGCAGTAACTTTATGTTGTAAGCTGCTACGCTATGATGGGGATCCGAGAGTGAAGTACTGCTGACTGGAGAGGAATGTGGCAGCAGTTAGGTGTTTCCGTTGACTGACTAGCAGTACCACGGTGATACTACCTTGTCTAGAGGAAGCGGACGGGGAGTTAGAAAAGCTTGCCCTTAAAACGCTCACTCCTCCCCACTCTGCAGTCTTCTGGTGTTAGCGCCATCGGTTTTCTCCATCTTGTGTTAGAACAAACAAGTCCCACACGAACCATCCTCAAAAGGCAGTGTTTGACAGGTGTCAAGGATATGTCCCATGGGCTCTAGGGTCCCAAATCCTGCAGGTACCTTAAGGAAAAATAGCCTTCCACAGAATGGGCGACCGTGAAGTGTCAACTGCCCACACACTCCCAATAGTATTCAAGACCCAGTCCAACATCACCTATCCTCCTCAACTCTGTTTCCTCCTTCGCCTCCTGATACTAATGTTAAACCTCTTTCACCTTCCTCAACCTCTCATTCTAAGATCAAAGCCATAGAAACCTCATTCCTAGTCTCCTAAGACCCAACAATCAATTTTATGTTGGGGCTTTCAGGGTCCGACGACTCGGACAGCAAGCATCACTCTCCAGAATTTTGGAATCTCTAGCCATGGATGCGTACCGTGTTTTCGAAACATATACAGAACCCGATTATGGTTATTAGATTGACCTTACTTAGTCATTGTGGGGAATCTTCAAAATTCACCTCTCTGGTACAAGCATAGCATTGAACTGTTAGGCGACGGGTGTTTTTCTCGACTAGTTACTAGTAAACAGTCGTCTATATACTGTTCGAATGAATAGATCTGTTAAAACTAGGGAAAATCGTGAGACCAACTGATACCTATTCGTATTCTTCGCCAACGCGTCCAGTAACTGCAGTTCGGATGATGCAAAGGATGAAGGTCAATGAGGAGCTGAAAATTTTGCTACAGAGCAAAACGTTCAAGTGTAGTTATAATAATAGCAGGTATCTTTAGTGTTGAAGTAAGGAAGCTGATGGAGTTGGAAAAGCATCTGTAGGGTATCTACGGGACTCCGTGCCAACGAACCGACTCAGGTAATCGTCTGTTGCAATTTCGTCCTGACATTCACTTGTTTCTGGCCAGCACTAACTTCAAGCAGAAGGAGAGACCCTGTCTCATATGGCATCCGCCGACTTCAAACCAACGATGAACACATAGATTATGTTGCTATAAGGTATCGTTTGAGAGGATCGGTGGAGGATTGCTGCGCTTCCTGGAGTACGTGTTTGAACTGCTACCATAGATTAGTTGGGGCATGTGTATCTCTGCACCTTATTGGTTTAGCATGTATGGTCGATTGGAAGATGAGAACATGAAGTATGCAATTAGGGGTGAGACAGCCAAGGATTCATCTAGAAGTGACGGCAATCCTCACATTCGGTTCGGTATAGAAACAGCGTTGGAGATAGTTTGTGACCTGTATTCAAAGGTTAGCAGAAGGCGGTGGATTTCTATGATGTCATCCGAATCGACTGGCGCAAGAAGACCAACTCAAGCAGACTGTGATCACAATGAAGAGCTAAAGAAACAAACGTGAACTTACTTAGAGTTTTTACACTGATCACGCGTAGCGGTGGGTAACAAGCGAGAGAGACGATGAAGGCGTCAGCTTTAGGTAATAGCCGGCAATTAATTAGTCTTAATAAGGATATCGGCAAAAAAAGATGGTTAGTGAAACCGTCACCGATAAGGGTGGAACCCTTACTACCTCTTTGGGCAGGCGGTTAGAACGTTAGGTGGAACACTTTGAAGCCCAGTTCAATTGGCCTGCAGGTAATCTTCAGTTGCCTAGCATAAAACCTGAGCATGAATGGTACATTGATGTCGGTCCTCCAACTGTCCCGAAAGTTGATAAGGCTTTCTTGAACATGATACGATGCAAAGCAGCTGATGTTTATGTAGATAGAGATAAAAAATAGCCGATAAAGGAAACGGAGGTAATAGATGGCGTATGAGAATCAGAGAAAGTCCCATCAAATTGGTTTACTTCACTAATAATACCGGTCTATATGAAAGAAGAGAAGTCTTCTTATTACAAGGATAGGGGAATCAGTTTAACTAATATCGTCTCCGAAGTTCTTGGGACCATAGTAACCCTATACCTACCTGGAGCCTAAAAACAGAAAAATCAAGGAAACCAGGCAGGTTTTTGATCTGAACAAGGGTGCATCGATTTGATTTCCACCTGACAGGTTCTGGAACACAGGCATATTTCTTGACCGGAAGATGGTATTTGATAATGTCAATCGTGTGATGTTGTAGCAGTTCGACTGCGAAAAGAGTATCGAGCACGTATCTGACACTAATCGAAGCTCTCTACTTGAGCTTATGCAGTCATATAAAGACTTATAGAGAGTTGTCGTGTGAATTGACGACAACTAGTGGTTTCCGCTAGGGATACCAGCTGTCACCGCTCCTTTTTAGTTTCGTTATAGGTGTACTAATGGTCATCACCTTAGGTAGGTTTGACTTCAGAGGAACTGACCTACTCCCTGCAGGGCATGTGGCCAACTTTGGTTACGCAATCAATATTGTTCTATGAAGTGAAGATGCTGATTCAATGTAGGATTTTCTGAACACGTTGAGCAGTAATCCTGAGTATTTTCGTCATACGTTTTGCACCTGTCAAGTGTAAGATAACGTTACATGACTGCTCTGCAACTCCTTCCAGTTTAAGACAAGAGAGTGGTGTGGTTGGATGGGTTTAACATGCAACTTTTTGGGTGTCGAAATGGGTTGGCTGCTGACGAAATCGTAGCTTGGATGGTGAAGTGCTGCTTGGCGTTTAACAATTTCATCATCTCTTTGATGGGCAAGATATCTGACTAGCAGTTGGAAAACGAGTGTACGGCAATGTAGTTCGCTCTGTCCTGTTATACGGCTATGAGACAGCTGTTGAAAGTAGAAGATATGGAGTGGCTACAGGTCTTTGATCACAGACGTCATCATAGCCCTGCTTGCGTATGGTAGGGTCATCCTGTGAGCAATTTGGAGGTCAGGTAAAGGGTGATAGACAAGAAAAACAAATTAGTCGATGAGGTTGTGTACCTTCAGCGATTGAGGTAGCTTGAACGTATGCTGTGCATGCCGAACCATCGCCTCCCTCCATATGTAATGCTAGCAAAAGTTGAATTAGGTTGGAAGGAAGCTCATGATGGGCAGACTAACACGTGGCACCAATGCATTTAGTCTCCGACTCTTGGTCTGGGCCATGTGGAAAGCCTGGTTGAGGTCTACAAGGTGACAGGAATTGGTGGTTGAGGAATCTTGGTAACAGCTGAAAATCGGTCACAATGATGCAGATGTATTCACTCTTTGGTATCTTTTAATGCTTGAATGTTTTGACCAGCCTCGATTTTTTGAATACCCTCTGCTCCTTTACGCCATGACCAGATACAGTCTTCTGGATCACTTGAATGGCAATTTAAGAATGGGATATGTTTCTCGCCACGCAACCGTAAACTCTTGCTCCGGTACTTATCTTTAGTGTTGCTATATTTAACAATTGGGAGTGAAGTGGCTGAACGTGCTGACCACTGCACTTGTCTGGGATGTGGTATCAACCCTTGTAGCCCATTGACCGATGAAATCTTCGCGCCGACACAAAAGGGTCGACCTACTTTTGCTAATTGTCGTCATCTGTTGCACTCCCATGATATCCTACTGCCTATTAAGAGCCATGGGCACTGCACTGTGGTTCGTTCTGTTTTTTATTGTAATGTTGTGAAATATTGCCACTTAAGGTAGAAGACAAGAGAAAGCTCAAGAAATTTGACCGCACTTGTCTTCGTACTGCGGACCCCGTGTCGTAATGATGCAGAAGTTAGGTGTAGAGTTTTAGGGAGAAGTTAGTTGGTGAAGCTGTAGACCGTCGACAAGTGGCTGAGACATGTTGTGTATTCCTAATCACCGTCAAACGCCAAGTCCTCTTCTGATTTCGTCTAGCAGTGTATCATATTCACTCAATTGTTCTTCATAACCATTGTATAACCCTGTTGTTTTTGCATCAGTTGATGAGTTTCTCACTCAAAGGGTTGTGTGCTGCAGAGCTTTTTATTTTATTAGGTAACATTTACAATTACTTCCTTTCGATTGGTTGTTAGATTGTTTAGTGTTGGTCAAGTGAGTCCTACATGTATATGGTAGTCTGTAATTGATATCTGAGTAGACATCTTTGGAAGCGCATTAATGCTTGTGTAGGACTTCAAATGAGTCATGATTTCTTATGGTAGGGAATGCGATAGCTAGGTAAAGGTTGTAGGCACACTATACCAAACTAAAACTGTGCGTTTCTCAGTCGCTCACGGTTATGCTGTATGGTTGATTTTTAATGTCTCTGCAGTGAACAGACAACAGGGTTGTATGTCGTCAGTGTTTAAAAGGACGGAAGTACTTACAATGAGAAGTCTGTGTTGAAGTGAAGAAAATAACGAATGAAGTGTTGAAGTATGATAGATCTGCCGATTATGGAATTGCATTGGATAGTAGTAGCATCATAAGCTGTCTTACTAAGCATGGCTCATACCGAAGTACATATAGATGTACCATGTCTAGAGATGCATTGATTGATTACTTTTGGAAATGTATGTTTATGTAGATGAAATTCATGTGATTGGATCATCTGTTTGTCTTGGATGTTATATTGTGTGTTAGTTAGTTTTTCGTCTTTTTTATGTTTAGGGTGGCGGTGGTGGTGGTTCTATTCGCGAAGCTGGGGGCGCATTTGGTAAACTAGAAGCCCGTAATGAAGAGGAGTACTTCTATCGACTAGTAAGTGGTTTCACAAGTGTCTACATGAATAGTATTATGCAGACTTGTTGTTAAGCTTTTGTGTGTGCTTTAATATGCTTATGATATACTCATTCCCCTGAAGGTTTGAATTGAATCGCCAGACAATCATCATAGGTGTTTAAGGTAGCAGTCATGTCGTTTTTAAACTCATATTTTTGTGACCCGTATTTAGGCATCTGTGTTCAGTTGTACTCACCTCACTTCTCAAGTGTCATTGCTGTGTTGTTGACTAGTATTCATCTGCGTTTGCAACTTGATGCTACGGGTTTTGTTTTAGGCTGTAAACCAAATATATTATAAGAGGGCTTACGTTACTACCTGGTCACCTAGATCGCAATCGGTGAACTGTGGTTTAAACCTGGGACTATAACTTGATAGTCGACTGGTTAATCCAGTGATCTTTGTTTTCATAGTTTTCTCAGGTTCATTTTTATTTTATATTGTATCTGAGCTACATGAATTTTTTCAGTCTTTCTGATCGTTTTGGGTATCTGAAATACATAGTGAAGGTAGTTGTTGTTTTGATACTTGTCATTTCCCGCTGCTCTACAGGGCCAAATTGGTCGACCTCTGTTGGTAGATGGGCTCCTATGCGGATGCCACGATACTGCTGGATATTCAAGATAAATACAACATCACGAATATCTGGCAGTATCCAGTCATCTGAATAACAGCCCATCTGTAAACAGAAGTCGACAAATTCTGCCCTATATAGCAACGAGAAATGACAGGTATTAAAACAACAGTTGAAACCCGTTGCACAAGTGGTGGCTATCGTGCTTTAGTGGCCTAGTAGACAAAGCTTGGCGTTTGAAGAGATGAGTACTGGGTTTGATTCTCAACAGGAACATCACTCACTGAGGTGCAGGTACATTAAGCTGACGCGTGAGGGTCCCAAAGGGGACGAAACGCGCATGCTGGATTCCACTGCCAGTCAGCAAGATGAATACACCATAGTGAAGGTAGGTTTTGGATATAGTTATATGGAAACTACACTTTCTAAAAGTTAAGTATTGACCACAAATCATGAGCAGGAATATGTCATGCCGATAGTTCTGTCATTAGTTTAATGATCCTCATATATTTTATTTTGAGAAATCTAAACCTGAAATAAGACGACTTCTAGTTATTGAAAGTCGCCATTTTTGTATGAAGTGTCTTGGTGTATTCTTGCTGTGGAAGGTTGTTAAACCACTGGTTAATTTGAAGTAGATGTACAGGATTCAGCAAGCAGGTGACGACTGATGTTGTGTTGAGCACTGGCAGGATGTTGTAACCTAGGAAACCAGTGACGGACTTGTTTATTATTTTGGCTGTCGACTACTTGGATGTCCTGCATTTCGTGACATGTTTGTAACTTTTTGTATCACAGCAACAACAGCAATTACGTGCTCTAAAGAAGCATCTAGAAGAGGAACATGAACGGGAAAAGAATGAAATCAAGCGACTTGAAGTGAGTTTAGTCAGATGTTTTGACTGTTTTTCGTAATAAATAACTTTTCGTTCATTCCTCAATGGTTTAAGGAGAGTCATTCTTGCTACAAGACAGTAATTGAGTGCTATAAACAAACAAACCCTCTGTACTCTCAAAACAATGGTGCTTACAAGTCTGAGAACCATGCATTGAGTTAGCAGGTAGTTTTCACCATAGATGTTGCTTTTTTCGCTACATAACCAGTCTTTATCAGGCCTTTAATTATTTCTAGAGTAAAATTTTCCTGAAATTTCTTTACAGATTCTGAGTGATTGGATGTCTGATTTCCTTTATTGCTCAAAAGTTCCTGATTTACGATAAAGTGACCGTCCACTGGACTTGAAAATAACATATTTCAGATCTTTATGTAGTTGTGAATGAGGGTCTATTATATGTTTGTGATCGTTTCGTCAGACTAAGCAGTTTTAGTCAGCAATAACTCGACAAATATGTTGAGCATGTATAAATTTTTTCTGACTCCCTAAACTAGTATTTCTTGACTTTAAGATGACATTCAATTCCTTCAATTGTAAGCAATTATGGCAGTATCTCATTGAAACGGGTATCTGCTAAGTACATCAGTTTGCTAAAGCCTCTTCACTCAATCCCCCTTGGGTGCTTTAGAGTCTACCATGAAGTAATATGTTTGTTGTCTAGGTCAGTTGGTGTTTGTGAAGGATTTCCACTTTCAGTTTTTATTTAGTTTTATCATAGATCTGTTCATGTAGGTCTCTCCTCCTCCTCTCTCTCTCTCCCTCTCTGTCTCTCTCTCTCCTTTTCTGACCTGACAGAGATTGTTCTCGTAGCTGGAGGATTCCGTAATCGACCTAGAATACGTAGAAGTGTGATAAACCTTCACATAGATGTAACCCAGTACACAAACTTTTGTCATTTGTGTTCATCAAATTTTTTTTTCAGCATTCTTTTGTAGTCCGTAAGCCAACAACACATTGTAGGACTTTTTCATCGTGTGAACATATACGGCGATAAAATGTGTGTAATTGTTCCTTATATTGCTAGTATATATATTACTGAATTCAATGAGTAGTCTGGTAGTTAGGGTAATCAACTTAGTTTAGTTGGTACTCTTCGAAGTTGATCTTATCACTTTCATTTTATCTGATGTTCTTTTAGAATTAGCACAAAATTCGAGCAAAGTATTTGTGTTGTTGTTGTTGTTGTTGTGCATGTTTCCCTTAAACCACCAACAAGTACATGGTATTGTATCACTATATGTTCAGTTCACTAAATGAATTAGCGATTCTCTCTTTATTTTAGACAAAGATTTCTCTTTTATGTTTATTTCAATAAGATTTTTATGCTTTCTGTTGAACTGTTACAAGTTATTAAAGCAGATTTTAAGTCGTCATGTTCGATTGCCAAACCTTTTTTGATGAATCAGCCACTGTAACTAATAATATTCAACTATGTTATGTACAAATGATCTAACCTTATTGGCGTATATTTCATTAAAAAATATGAACATTTCATCTGCCTCAATTAGACTTACATCATCAGTCCTGTGAAAATGAATAATCACTAAGATCAGTTGAACTGTTTCTCAAGGTGGTTTACTCATTTCATAGTAATGAAGACGATTCAATGATTCATTCTTTTTGGTTATTGTTTTATTGACCAAAAGCTTTCTTTAGCTATTCTCCTCTTTGAGTTTCAATATTTTCTCACTATTACTAACCATTTATAATTTCCTAATCTCTTTGAATTTAGCCTTCTACTGCTACTCAAACTCTATTTCAACTGATACCCTTCAATGTTGTGTTTCAAGTTTTCTGGAATTGTTTATTTCATATCAGGTTCTGAATCAGTTAGCCTATTTCAACGGCTTTTCTAAACTGTTGGTGATAAATATGAGATACTGGATACGCCTTTTTATGATTGTAGAGCTAATGCCGCCGTGAAAGCATACTTTCATTCGTTCACCTGCAGACTGAACATGAAGCAATAGTCTAGTTGTATTTATGTATGTGATATGTTTAGTGAGTCACCTAGATGCGTATGCTGTAACCCAGGCTTGAAACTGACCAACATTCTCTTATCCTGTTTGTGTGTGTGTAACGGATTATGACTCATTATAAAAACTCTTCTGGAATGTACCAATAATCTTCAGTTTATCAGTCTGTTTGCTTGAAGTAAAAATGAAGATATTCTATTTCTCCAGTGAATGAGACAGTGTATGGACAGCGACAACTCGACGTAGAACTTGGTACAGAAGTGAACTAGCTTAAGTTACCATACTTCAAAGCAAAATGCAAAGAAGGAGATAGAAAAAGAATAACAGTAAAGTTGAAAAAATGTATGAGTTAGTGAAAATACTGAAACTTGGACAGAAGTTGAAGAGTAAATAGATCTGCACCATTGTGACTAATTTTCAGCCAAATGACCAAGAATGTCCAACCATTGATATCTATTATCTCGGAAACCGGAGCCAGACTATCTACACTATATATGGCTCACACCAGTAGTCAGAGACTTCATGAACTAGTAGTACGTAATAGTCTCCCAACCGTGAGGCTTCTTACATCCCATTCCTACTTGGTACCATTATTCCTCATAATAGGTGGTTGTTGGTTATGTGTAACACATATTCAAGTCACCTCAGTTTATGAAAGTTCACAGCTTCATTGGTCGATTTGCCTTCCTTGCTTAATACCCTCCCCCAAACTTTGACATTATTCATACAGTGACTCCACCATACGACGGACAAACAAAATCAACGTAAAACCTCGCAGACAAGTGCATTGCCCCAAGGTGCCGTGCTTTACAGTAGTATACAAACAACAGAGGGATAGAAAAAATGATATCAAGGTGGGCAAGATTGTATGAGCAAATAGACAATCTGAAGATAACGGTTAGTGCAAATATTCAAGGCTTAGAAGATATCAAGGGGTAAATACATCTGCGCCATCGTGACCGATGTCCAACCACGTCACCAAGAGTCCGGAACCACTGGTTTCAGCCAGACCGTCTACATCTCTGTGCACGTCTCAGACCAACAGTTATAGACTTATTGAGCTTGCATGTCGTCTTGGTCTGGCCACTCTGAACCCTGTTTTAACCTAATACAACTCCTAGCAGTGCACTTCGGGGTGGAGAATGGCACTGGGTAATTATTTCGTCTTATTCTGGGACTTGTGAATGACACACGGTCATAAAGTGTCTCACAGAAACGAATTTTATAACGTCAGAAAGGGCACAAGCAATTTTGACTTTTGGGGTTAGATGCATGCCATCGGGAAACAACATTGTATACCATGTGGGTTTTCTTAGTACAAAGTTGGACCCATTGTGCCCGATAAACAACTTGAGTGAATGCCAAATAAAGCATTATTATTGTGTGTCACTGGAAAACCTTATAATAACAGAAAACATCTGGTGCAACTGGGGGTTCACTCCTTTTACCATCTGGGTTTCAACAATTAGGTCAGAAATTTAGACACCACTTCATCTATTACAATTTGATCAGTCAAGTTGTATCTGTAACTCTGAAACAGTAGTTCATCATTGTGGTATGTTTATTCATTGTATTTTTCTGTAGATATTGTTAGTTATAAATTGCTTTTTCTAGTAATTGAAAATTTCCGATTTCCCCCTATCTCTTGTCATTTAGGAATCACTTAAACGTCGAAAGAAATTATTAGCTGATCTTGAAAAGAAAGATTAAACACGGATCGTTCCTCTGCACATTTCGTTAATTCTTGTAGATGATGATAAGTTTAGGTGTAAAAACAAATTAGTTTTCTTATCATCATATGAGATACCTTTTTTTTTTACTGACCAGTCTGTTGTTGTCTGACCTCCCTTACCGTTAAATTATGTCAGTAAATATTACAGTGTTCGTTTTTATTTTTGTTGTTGTATTTCTGCATGTAGACAACTAGACTGATTAATTTTTAAGAAACACCTTAAAAATAGTTTAATTAGGCCATTATTTTTCAGTCAAGGGATCAATGACAAATCAATATCAGTATTGAAGTTGGCACTACTCCATGACGGTTTAAGTTGCAATAAATCACCTCAACACATTAAGATACTGGACAGTAAGATGAAAGAAAGAAATAATAATTGGAATCCAAAGTCGTAGAAAGCCTTATGAAAAGAAGGTAAAGCAAATAATGATGTGTGTTACAACAGTTATACTGAGTTGAATGTGTAAATGCATCTGCACTAATGATCTCGATTCTTAGTCATATCGCCTACAGTCTTCAATCACGGATTTCAGTTGTAACGTGGACCTCAACTGTGACTAAGTTTCTTTATAAGGCTCAAACCAGCATTTAGAGACTTCACGAACTGATGCCATGCTACAGGCTGAACCGCTTTTAATTATTTTTTTATTCGGCGTAAATCTACACCAGTGAACTTTGCGGGACGATGTAGACGTTGACTAAGCATGCCCAACACATCCTGAACCTTCTATCATGGTTAATATCATTGGCACTTACACGATATACCCGCTACTAACTTACTGCGGCTAACCCACACATGCATTATACACAGTCATTAACAATGTCTGCAATTGCCTTAGGTTATATTTAACACGAGTTGGGCGTCTGAGGGTGACATGGAGGAGATCATGTGAGGAAGAAATGAAAGCCTGTGGGCAGTCATGGCATCAGGTTTTGAAGACTGCAGAGAACAGAGCGCTACTGAAGCCCTATGTTCCACTAGAAACCCAAGGGAAAAATGATAATAATATTTAACACGAATAAAATGCCAGGAGAAGATTAAAACTTCGATTTTTTCAAACCAGCTCTTGTGTTCAATGAAAGAACAAGCCTGCTACTATCCTCAAAAGTTCATCTTCTTTGAACGCGCATTATAATATGTTTGTATTGTCACGTAGCTGGAACCTGAACAAAGTCTGTTGTGTAACCCACTTCACCTACGATATGGAAGTGTACTACTGACGCATCTTTAAAACTCACCAGTCGTTGCAACTGTTACTTTTATTTATATTATGATTCACTTGATCTTCAGAATGTGCTATTCTGGGGTAAGATCGACAGTCAATCATGTGATATGGAGTTTAGCTACCTGATGTCACATAAACTTATCGTGTACTGATGTTGTGCTGTTATCTCTCAAACCTACAACTACCTAAATAAACACGTTTCTAATTAACGTTCGGTAAAAACTCCATGACTTCATACTCAACCGATTCGTATTTTATTTTTCTACCGGATATTCATGTAGGCGACTTAATCCAGGTACGTCACCCTTGTAATCTGTCAACGCATTTCTGTAGTAGCAAGTTTATACGGAATATTAGTATTCAGCTTTAAATCAATTGAAGAGGTAACATCTAAAGAGGGGGCAAATTTAAATTTGACAATAAACTTTGGCAATCTCTTAGACTTATCTTTCATCAGCAAAAGCGGAAAAGCGTAATCTTCGTGAGCATTAATATCCCATTTTACGAAACACGTTACGTTCTTAAAGTAACATACTCGAGAAGTAGCTGGTGAGAGATATTAATGTGGTTTCCTTGTCTCTAAATTGAGTGTCTTCTTTGGAGCTTGACTGACATGGGAAGTTTTCAAGGGCTAGGTCTTATGCTGGCAAAATTGCTACATTCGTCCTTAACCCAGATTCAGGTCGACGCACTTGTTTCTGTATCCCACTAACCAACCCGCCAATTATCTTCATCGTTTATAATTTGCTAATTTTCACCTGGTGGTTTCAGAAACTAATTGTATACATGTGTACATGACTTTGGCCATGGCTATTTCTTTCAAACTGTACAACTGAATAAATGTGTACCTCTGCGTAAACGAACGCCGTTTCAAATCGTTTCCATTAACGACCAAAGCTGGGAAAATGTAACGACTGCTTTGTATTTCCGGTGCTGTGCAAATTGTCTCTAAAAAGATGATTGGTTTTAATGCGATCAGACGTCACACACTTAACACCAAACCTATAACTTCAGCAACTAAGGGATTTTAAGAATAGTTAGGATAGTAAATCGTGTTTTCCCATCTGGTTTTCACTGCTTAGATGGTCCACAAGTGGAGCACTTAGACGTTTTTTCATGCTTCCGCCATAGATGTTTGCAGAAAACTATGACCAATGTAGCAAACCAAGTCGGGTGTGAGGGCACATACTCAACTATGGGACTGAATGAAGGTCGCCACATATCGCGAATTGACAGAAGTAGGAAGATGTGAACCAGTGGATTCCGACCTGGCAGCTCAATGGTAACGTGAAAACTGAAGATCGTAGGTTTCATCGTTGGTGGGATTTTGTGGGCGCTGCTGAGGAGTCCCGTGCTAGAATGGAATTGCTGTCCACTGCTTCCAGGTTTTCAGTGGTGCTCCAACTAGTATTTGTCCGTAATGAATGCAACCTTAGAATACCGTAGTTTTGTAGTAGGTATAATTTCCGTGTGATAGACTTTTGGATATCGCCGTTACAGCCGAGGCTTGTTTTTCATCACTCTTGATAAGGGGTTGTCGCAACCGAAAAGGAAATTATTATTTGTACTTTGGGTTCCTAGTGGAACGTAAGGCTTCATTAGCACGTCGCGATTTCACTCTGTTCTCTCCAGTATTTTCAACCTGGCTCCACCACTACCCGGAACCTTTCATTTCTTCCTGGCACCATCTCCTCCATGTCACCCTCGGACACCCAACTCGTCGTTTCCCATATGAAATCCACTCGAGGGCTTGGTGCCTGATGTCTCCAGTTGGTCTTCTCAGTGTATGTTGGTGTTGAAAATCTGGATGTTGTTCATGCTTTATGCTGAGTGCAGTACAGTGGAGTAGATCTCCACACTGATTTCAGGTGAATGAAGGAATGCCTGTCTTGCTTATCCGATACTGGTTTTGACATCCTCATCTTCTCTACGTTCAACTTAAGGAAGTCCCATCTTCTCTGCTTCTTCTGTCAACTTGTTGGTTCTCGCTTGTAGATCTTCAAGTTTATGCGACAAGCCATTAGATATAAGTCATCATCGGTGAAAAATCTTCTTGGGTCCTATCATCGGTCCAGCGTACGCCCATCTTCTCGCTCCTCACAGTTTGTTACGTGATCTAGTCCAGTCGACCAGTCAGGAAGATCATGAGTGATAGTAGGCAGCCTTGTCTTACTCCTGTTTCCACTTCAAAGGCATCACTGAGCTTTCCATTGTGAATCACTTGTCATGTAGCGTATATCTGTTGAACGAGGTTGATAAAGGTTTGTGACACTAAAACCGTAGTGTTGAAGGAGTTGCCAAATTACTTCTCGATCGACGCTATCGAAGGCCTTTTCAAAGTCGATGAAGTTGGGGTACAGTTGACTTCCATTCTGTGCTCTGTTCTAAGATGACGCGGAGCGTTGCAATTTGGTCCTGATCTTCCTGAAGCCAGCCAATAATTCATGTCAATTAACATGCATTTTTTCGCAACCGTGAATCGTACGAAACTGAGCGGGAAGTCAGTAAATGACTGAACTGCGCCACAATGTTATGATATAAGTTTTAAGTAAAAATCCCTTTTTAAAATACTTAGTACAGTCAATAATGTTTGTTTTATTTTTTTACGATCCGTTATAACAATGCGAAGACTCATCGACATCTTTTATCCAGTTGGAACGACTATAAGTTGCAGGCTGGCGTATACGGCATAACATAATGGTAACTAACTTGTCGCAATTTCGATAAGCCTTAACTTAGCCTTCCATAAGTAGGATTCTTGAGAGTACTCAAATGAATCCGTCAACTGTGCACATCTTAGTGCGAAATGTCTTAGTTTAGATGGAGACGTTTAGGGAATGAATTTCTTTTATTATGATTCGGAATCCTTCTTTATATAGTGACACGCATTTATCATTTCCATCGCTATTCTTAATCTGAATTTAAGATTTCTCATGTTACTGTCTATATGTTACTTATGAGTAATTGATGTTTTCTATACACGGTTTCCTACTTTCTTCTGATTGGCTGCCTGTTTTTGTTGCTTGATTGGTCGAAGTTATGAGTTGTCATTCAACCACAATGAACTTGTTATTCTCACCGTTTGTTTGCTGTCAAATTACCTCGAATGTGAGTGCCTGAATTTTTGCGTAATTATTCAATATAGAACCATCAATTATTGTTACAAGAAAAGCAGACAGTCTTTCGATTTTATATGACTCTCGGATGCGTCTGTTCGAGTGAACCTTACACTGAAGCTCTTCTCACTTAAGTTTTGATCTATTTCAGAAATTGTCTATGGTTTTCTTGGATTGTCTCCTATAAGAGTTGTCCCACCTTAATCGATAAAGTTATCATCCCCCTGGATTTGAATAAGCATAACAGTTAGGTATTCGTTACGTTTGGTTTATCGAACGGATTGTTTCTTAATACAAGAAACTGCTGTGTCAGCGCAAATATGTGATGAAGAACAAGAAAGTAGTCGATTCTGCTAAGCTATAAAGCATGTATAGCGTGAGACAAATCAGCGCTGATATTTGAAACAGAAGGAAATAATCCTGCTTTTAATGTGTTCACATTCCTCGAACCACCGTTGATCAATCACTCAGTTAGATTTTCCTGCGGTCTGTGTTGCTGATGAACTCCAGTCGTTGAGTTAAGAATATCAGATTATCTTTTAGTAACTATGCAAGATAAGTATAGTTCTGTTAGAAAATATTTACTCTATCAGATTCATTTTAGAAAGAAAAGTGAACACGTACAACAACTTGCTATAAGTATGTTTAGTACTCATTAGTAATATTAGTAGTAATGGCATTTTTTTGCATCTTTATAGAGTTCACATCACATAAGTTAACTTGAAAAAAAAGTGTTGGAAAGAAAAAGAAGTCTTTCATCTATGACAATCTGCGAATCAATAAGAATGAGTAATAATTAGTTGTAATAACAGTAATGATAGTAATATTGCTGACGGAAATAGTTTCTATAAGTTGATAACAACTGTATGATATGTTTCTTGTACACATGTGCATTATCATTTCACTATAATGTAAGTTTTCTTATATCTTTGGTGGGAGTTTCTTTGACCAGGCTTCTTTATTCTCCTTGAAATGATCAACCCATGGACGGGGAACCACTTGTTCAAAGACTGTAAAATTAAGTAAATATATATGAAGGATATTCAAATGAAGTTGGAATATCTACCTTAAGATATTATTTTATTAAGGCTAAGCTTACTTCTTTTTCTAGTAGATCATTTGAACAGTTTTGGATATATTAACTTTCATTAGTGCTGAGAGTGGAGCTGTGGTTCATTGGGTTTATAGAGTTGACCTAGTTGTGATTTCATTTGAAGCAGTTAACATAAGATTCACACTTTTACGACTTGAAATGCATTCATATTCGTGCAGTATGCAGTGAACCACACCAAGTTTGTTAGGACTACCTAATTGTCTAAGCCTTGGTAGGTGGAGTAAAGTTCGAACCCATGAGCCATTAGTTGAAAGTCAGTCAGACAGTCAAACAGAAAGACGAAATCATGGTAGAACCCTGCACATATTGGCTTTATCTGTGTGACTTCCAACCAGCAGGTGATCAGTTTGAAGCCCGCTCCATCTACTGAGGTTTGAACAACCACTAGGTGTGGGTCACTGCCCACTGCACAAATGTGCAAAACGTTTCTAAGTGCTTTTAGAGTTCCAAGAGTGTTGATCTTATCTTCACCGCTTGCAAGCGACACCTATACTTCTTGAAGTAAAATCGCACCAAATTTTTTCTAAAGCTGAAATTTCATGTTATTTACTGTTATGTAACATCAGGAGAAAGTCTAGTACTGACCAAGATGACCCTGATGGAGTTCACTTAACCTTTGGGATTCAGGTCTCTTGAACTAACCTTTAATTTTCTATATTTAACTTCCTTATATTATTTGGTAGACTTCAGGGTCAAAATTTGACCTGATACAATGAACAAGTTCAGCATTGGGTAAGTGGATTACAAAGGAAATATATATGGAAATTGCAAATGAGGCAGAAAACCTAACTTGTTTTCGTTTACTATTTAGCCGCATAATAACTTACACTCTGAAGAAGTGACTTCTACGAGGTTGCGAAACGTTAGAAATTTATTTTTTGACCTCAATGGGATTTTAAAAATATATTTCCTTTATATCCTGAACGCTAGTTGTTGTGTTATTGAAAATATCTGTTAAAAAGTGTTGGATTTACGTCTCATCTTTCTCGATAATCAGTAGTGAATATTTATAGTTTACTGCCTCATAATTGGTCACTATTCCTATCCACTTTGGAGGTTTCTGGGGATTGATTGATTGATTTCAGCATTCATCATGGACTGATATCATTTAGAGAAACAATGAAAACCTAGGGGAAATGAACAGCTGTTTCGCTATAGTATAGGACTCTTCAGCATTGTGGATCCATAACCCTGCCAGCAATGAGCCTAGGACTTTCAGATTCTGCTATTATTCCGTTACCATTGACCATAGAGATCTGGATCGTATGGTCCATTTATCCTACTTCTATCAGTCGACGATTTAGCGTGACCTCGTGACGGGGTCATGGGTGCTTATTACTGAGATGTCCCATGCTAGGATGAAACAGCTGTCCAGTAATCCTAGGTTCCCAATGTTTTTCCAACTGATCTCAGTTCATGATGAATATTAATCTGAAATCATTATTCCTATCATTGTCTGTTGTATTTCTTAAAATGCAGATATTTACTTTTTAAGGATAGTCGTCATTAAAATAACACACTCCATTTAAAATGGCCTAGGAATAAATTTATCCTAGATCCTTGAATTCTTACCGGTGCTCAACGATTCTCTTCTATGGGATATTATATTCAACCGGCAAGTTAGATTCTGATTACAAGGTCATTCGGTGAATTAATGATCAAGTTTGATCAACAGGTTATCATTCTTCGAAGTAAAGCACCAATGACAATTGGATTATGATTTAGATTGATAAATGTCGGGAATTCGACTGTTTTGTAATGAGTAAAATGATTTTTATGGTACTCCTCTGCTTTCCATGTTACCTAACTAATCTAAGTTCTTGTTTATGTAAAGTGCCTATGGCTAGGATAATTAAGCTGTCTTTTAACACCTAAGTTTAGGAGAACCTATACGGTCATCTATAGGTCAACCTGAATACATAAAGATTCTAAATAATCTTAGGGACGATATTTATTACTATGTACTTGCATTTGCTGTAATTGTACTCAAATATTACATAATGTAAACAAACTTTGAAGGAAACTTACCGGTTTCTTGATCAGATTTAGGCTTTACAATGGTCGGCTCTGTCGGTGGGACTCCTTCAGTTTGTGGTGGATTAACTATGCGTTCAATCATGTCACCAAGAACTTGAAAACTCGGTTCAACAATGAAATCAATGAAACCTAATTAAACAAAAGGTTAAATTCAGTTAAAACCATTTAAAATTGATCCATTTGCATGTATGTATAAAGATAAAAATTCAAGTAATCAACCTTCAACTTACCGATCAGCAGTATGCTGATGTAAACCTATAGCTGTCATTTTTTTTCACCCAATATTTTGTTCAGTGTTTATGTAAGTGGGTGACACATAACTATTTACTTATCATTGTTGTATTAGCCGTTGAAACGACCTAGTTGGAACTGGTTAGAAAGATCAAGCAGTTCGGAAAAAGTTTGTTCAATTAAGACCAATCAACGAGCGTGGGAAAAATTCTTAAATTACTGCAGTAAATAAAAATTAGGCGCTATTCTGACTTCACCTTGAGTTAGTGGACAGTAAGATAGAATCGACAGACTATTGACTCCAATAATAAGATAATTTGTGTTTTGAAACCGCTTTTCAAGTGGGACTTAATGATATCTAAATATATTGATCTAGGTAGACAATAACAAAATATTTGTTTATTTTGTTATTTGTTCTAATATACTCCGCCGGTATCACACAAGTAAAAATACATCCTATACAATGAATAATACTAACTCGGTGCCCAAGTTTTTTCAAACCATCCAGTCCATTGTTGGTCAGGATACCTTCAAAATTATTATTATTATTTGTCCCTTGGGTTCCTAGTGCAACATAGCGCTTCAGTAGCACGTCTCCAGTGCACTCTGTTCTCTGTAGTCTTTTCAACCTGGCTCCACAATAGCCCACAAGCTCTCATTTCTTCCTCACACAATCTCCTCCATGTCACCCTTGCCTCGAACACCCAACTCGTCGTTTCCCATTTGGATTCCACTCGAGGGCCTGGCCTGACCTGTCGTGTGATGTCCCCAGTCGGTCTTCTCAGTGCATCTCCAATCCATCTCCACTTTCTTCTACTTCATATTTGTTGGGTGATGGGTTCTCGGTTGGTTCGTTGCCAGCCATCCATCCAGAGTTCTTTGTTGCTAGTTCTTTCTGGCCATCTGAGCTTCAGTAGCGAGCCAGCGTAGGCAGTTGTTGATGAATGTCTGTAGTTGTTGGAAATGCCTTTCGTAACCCGCTAAGTCTCTGAACCATACAGGAGCACTGACTTTGGTATTGAAAATCCAGATCATGTCCCACATGCTGAGTGCAGAAGATCTCCACACTAGTTTCAGATGAATGAACGCGTGTCCTGCTTTTCTGATCCTGGCTGCCTTTGACGTCCTCGTTTGTGCCACCTGTAATTGAAACAGTGCTGCCTGGATAGGTGAAAGAGGCTTCTACCTTTAGATTTCTCCCGTTAATGGTGATTGGTGTTTGTTGTTGGTTGGGTATCTTCATTACCTCTGTCTTCTCTACGTTCACTTGAAGTCCCGTATTCCTTCGCTGCCCCACCTCTTCTGTCAACTTGTCAGTTTTCGCCATTAAGATCTTCCAGTTTGTGTGACATTAGACACAAGTCATCGGTGAAATCCAAGTCTTCTAGGTTCTTTTCCTCGGTCTAGCGTATCCCCCTCTTCTCGCTTCTTACTGTTTGTTGCACGATCCAGTTGACCACCATCAGGAGTATCATGGGTGATAGTAGACAGCCTTGTCTTACTCATATCCTCTGTCTTCAGTTCAAAAGCATCAATGAGCTTCCCATTGTGAATTACTTAGCATGTGGTATCTTCATATAGTTGTTGAATGAGGTTTGATAAAGGTTTGTGGTATTCCGTAGTGTTGAAGCAGCTGCCAAATTAAATTACTGCAGTAAATAAAAATTAGGCGCTATTCTGACTTCACCTTGAGTTAGTGGACAGTAAGATAGAATCGACAGACTATTGACTCCAATAATAAGATAATTTGTGTTTTGAAACCGCTTTTCAAGTGGGACTTAATGATATCTAAATATATTGATCTAGGTAGACAATTAGATAGCTGACTTATTCCAAGCACAATTAGGTTGTCTAAGCTGCATCTTTCTGTATACACGCCTGATGAGCTAAACACCAAATGAGCAGAGAAGCAGTTCAGTGTTTATTTCACCTCAATCTCACAAGTAACGATTGCTGATTGGTGCAAGTCGTGTACAACTACTCATACTAGTCGCTTATATACATCATACAGCTTCCCCAAATATTGCGCCTTTATTAGTGTTAAGCGGATTCCCTGAAAATCGAAGATGAAATTTCACAACATTAGTATCCCACATAATTATATCAAGCGAACATTTGATTTAATTCGACGAAAATATTACCCTTATGTTCGTGTAATCTAAACAGACGTTTCCTTTCATGGAAGATCGAACCCCAATGAAGCTAGCAAAGCTTTACTATGAATGACTGTTGTGATAGTAGAAATAATAATATAGTTTAAATGCGACAAATTTTTATCGTGGTAAACTATTTAGTCTGTGAAAATACACTCAAGTGACTTTTTTATTTTCAAGGTTTACTTACCGATCTGTGATTGTGGCACAATGACTGTATTACGATCACAAAGTGGTGATATCGGAAGATTTAATTCACGTTCTCGATCACCCTTTAAATGGAAAATTGTTTTGAATCAAAATAAATTTTGCTTGTAGGTAAACCATTTTTATAAGAAAAGAATTGTCTAGCTGATAATTTTTACATTTAACTGGCAGTAACGAAGGTAGCACTGAAGAACAGATAACTTTGACTATATCACCATAAAAATTTTCAAGTTAACTCCATTATCTCCACTGGAATAGAGCTGCATACTTTGAATGTTTACATATGGCTAGAATTTCCTAAGCTCATTAGGCTGAAACTAGATACAATGATTTATAAGAAGTACAACTTCATACTTAGACACCTAGTCATAGAGTGGGGAGCTTATACTTTAATAACAGCTGCTTTCTTTCGTTGACCTCAGTATAAGTCGCCTGGGGCGATGAGTGTTCTAGCTAGCTAAGAATGACGTATAAACCGCACTGCCATATTAGGGTTAAGTTTGTTTGTAGGGTAACAACCCTGTTGTGTACAGCACGAAGAATATACTCACGATTTAAACCTGAAGATAAAAATGTCGTTTCTCTAGGAGTATCTTAAGCAAATCGGATATCCGAAAATCTTCAACAACAAATACTGTAGAAGCGAATGTAGTAGGATTGAGTAAATAACAATTAGTAAAAAACAAGTCTTCATTCACTTCGACTTCAAAAGTGTTAATACATCACCGAAGACTTCAAAATGTTATGGTCAGTACATATCCTGGAACAATGTTAATTCCCTTGTTCCTTACCTTTTTGTTCGTTTATACAATCAAAAATTGACAGGTACCCCTCATATGTTACCTCCAAATGTGTGTGACAACTCACTTAGATCTGTCCGAGCAGTTTACATTGGAAGAAAACAAAGAAGTTCTAACCTTCGATATCTTGAACATGTCCCGAATAGTCTAAGATTGAGAGAAGTATCCCCTACCATACAATTACTAACCACTTAGCAAGCAGATAACTTGAAAATGTTCTAAGTAATCAATAAACACGATAACTCCAATCTTCTTCGCTGTGCTGAGGCCACTGCTATGAAACATCTGAAACCAGATTTATATGTTCAAAAGGAAACTATCGCCAGTCTTCAACTACCCTAATGACCTTCCTCTTATTCGATCACATCATTATCTTATCATTAGGTTTTCAGTTAATTCTTAACTCCAATCTTAATTGACTGAGTTCTGCTCATTATGTTCCATTACATTTTGTTTTCTGATTACTAATAACTTATCTACTCAGTGACTAACGTAAATTCTATTTCTAAATTACGCAGTATTCGCCGGCTTTTTTCTATCCCCATGTAATTTTTACAAGGAATTTTGTTTCAATAAGGTATCTGCTTACGACCTAATTACATGGGACTTTGACTTTATTTTAGTTCAGACAGCTTACTTACTTCGCTGATTCGTTATTTCGTTTTGACTGATTTCGGTGAACTAAAATATGCTAATATCTTATTTTAGTTTATTATGATTAATATTCTAGGTTGTAAGCAGCTGACGAGAACCGCCGAAATAATAGGATGCATCCAAATTATTTTGCTTCGATGTTTATTCTTGCTCTTTAACATATAAGGGTAAGCTGTACCGAAACATTTAGAAAGCAATGGTGGATTGACACTTATAAGATTTTGTCGTCCCAATTTTATCCTTTCCATTAGTTGTCTTGCGGAAGTTGTTTAGGTAGTCTACTCCTAATTACCATTGATTTGTGCATTGAATGTTTCGTAAATTCAATGTGTATATACACCGTCAACATGATTCGCAAGTGTTTATCAGTGAGTGTTTCGATTTCTGACCAGTTAACTTAGTGAGGTATAAGAGGATTCTATCTGATGAGGATGTGTTGAACAGTTTTAAATTATTATTATTTGTCCCTTGGGTTCTTAGTCGAACATAAAGCTTCATTAGCACGTCGTCAGTATTTTCAACCTGGCTCCACCATTACCCAGAACCTTTCATTTCTTCCTCACATGATCTCTTCCATGTCACCTTTGGACACCCAACTAGTCGTTTCCCATTTTGGATTCTACTCGACGGCCTGGTCTGTCGCGTGATGTGCCTAGTCGGCCTTCTCAGTGTATGTCAAATCCATCTCCACTTCCTTCCAGTGCATATTTGTTGGGTGATAGGTTGTTGGTTGTTTCGTTCCCAGAGTTCCTTGTTACTTATTCTTTCTGGCTATCTCATGTAGTCTTCATTATGAAGTGAGCGTAGGCAGTAGCTGTTGATGAATGTCTGTAGTTTGTTGGAAATGCTTTTCATAACGTGTCAAGTCTGTGAACCATCACATCGAAGCACTGAGTTGACTGGATTGGTGTTGAAAATCCGGATCTTGTTCATGCTTTATGCTGAGTGCAGTACAGTGGAGCAGATCTGCACACTGGTTTCAGGTTAATGAACGCCTGTCTTGCTGTCTTTCCGATCCTGGCTGACTTTGACGTCGTCGTCTGTGCCTGTTCCGCCTGTAGTTGAAAGAATGCTGCCTACGTAGGCAGGTGAAATAGACTACTTCCTTTAGATTCCTCCCTTTGATGATGATTGGTGCTTGTTGTTGTTGGTTGGGTATCTTCATCACTTATGCCTTCTCTACGTTCACCTGAAGGAAGTTCTATCTTCGCTACCTCTACTGTCAACCTGTTGGTTTAGACCAATATGGTAAATTGATCTTTTTTTATAAAATAAGCAGGTAAAAAATCATTGTGGAGCCCACTTATGTTATGAACCGTAATGGACATTCGTTTGTTCAGCTGGAAGTGATATAACCATTTTGTCTTGTAATAACTTCAATTTTTTATTACCGAATTGGATAGTCACTCTAACTGACGTAAACTAACAATTATCGTAACGTTTGATTTTCCGCCTTCAATATAGCGCCAATAAGGAACACTACACTGACAATATTATTAGTGTTGTTGTTAGATCATATAGTCGGAATTGTCGGTGACTGAGAGAAGTAGATTCTCCCGAATAACTTGAGGACTGCAGTCAACTTGTGTAAACAGTTCAGTCCTATCAAAATACAATCGTGACCTGAATAGCGTCTTAGTGATGTCTATAACTTTGATATCGAGTGATAAAAGTCTGTAGACATGTCTTGCTGATATGTACTGACAATCAGGGAACTGATTAGCATAAAGAGTTGTGACTCTACTGTCTGGTCTCATCATTGTTTCCTCTGGAATCCTAAATGTTTAGAAAATAAATTGTAATCTCAACGCCAAGGCTGGCATCTGTTACAAGCTAAAGAACTATATCGTACATATTGCTGAATGATATGAATAACAGAATTTCTTATCAATCAGATTGATTTGTTCTAGATATGAACGTTTGTTATGACTGTTTTGAAACGTTTTCGTCAGTGGTTTATTTGGATTGTTTCAGCTATGGGTAGTAGAATATTCAAACCATCCCTGGAGTTACAGAATGTATACTGTTTGGCTCTTCTACTCATTTTCTAAAGGCCAGCCTTAATGTCGAGCAGATCCTAATTTATGTTCTGGACATTTTGGTCTCCAAAGGAAACTGAAATGAAAATTGCCAGTTACTTGTCACCTAACTGTGTCATTCTCACCACAGACTAAGCACACTTAGAAATACTAGGCTTGTGTCTGGATATTTTCAGCTCGCCCAAGTGACCAGGCAGGTTTACAGTGACGTAATTTACTCGATGGCACTAGGTAAACAATTTCATCGGGTACACATGTGATGAACTCAGTGTTAATGGGTGTCCAGTGTTCAGATCAAGTCAGTTTGACTCACCATTACTAATTATTGAAGTCCGCACTTTTCAACGATACACATTAGTCAGCTTAAGATAGTATGAAGGACTTCCTGTAGAATAAATTTAGGTATTTAAAATAGAATTCTTTAGTTACTTACTACTCGTGTAGTCCGTTTTGAAATGTTGCCCAGAAGCTCTCATTTCCTCCTCTCACGATCTCCTCCATGTCACCCTCACCTCGGACGACCAACTCGTCGCCTCCCATCTGGGTTCCACTCGACGACCCAACCCTGGCGTGTGATGTCTCCAGTCGGCCTTCTCAGTGAATGCCCAATTCATCTCCACTTCCTTCTGCATATTTGTTCAGCGATAGCTTCTTCCTTCGTTCGTTCCTTACCAGAGTTCCTTGTTGCTTATTCTTATTATTCTGGCCATCTGATCTAATCTCATCTGATCTGATCTGATCTTCAGTAACGAGCCAGCGTAAGCAGTTGTTGATGAATGTCTGTAATTTGTTGGAAATCCCTTTCGTAACTCGCCAAGTCTCTCAACCATATGGAAGCACTGACTTCACTGAATTGGTGTTGAAAATCCGGATCTTGTTCACACTTTATGCTGAGTGCAGAAGATCTGCACACTGGTTTCAGGTTAATGAACACCTGTCTTGCTGTCTTTCCGATCCTGGCTGACTTTGACGTCGTCGTCTGTGCCTGTGCCGCCTGCAGTTGAAACAGCGCTGCCTAGATAGGTGGAGGAGGCTACTTCCTTTAAGTTTCTCCCATTGATGGTGACTGCAGCTTGTTGTTTTTGTTGTTGTTATTGGTGGTTGGGTATCTTCATCAACTCTGTCTTCTCTACATTCACTTGAAGTCCCGTTTTCGCTGCCCTGCACTAGCCTGCCTCTTCTGTCAACTTGTTAGTTTTCGCTTGTAGATCTTGAAGTTTGTGCGACATTAGACAGAAGTCACGGTGAAATCCAAATCTTCTAGGTTGTTTTCCCCGGTCCAGCCAGCGTATCCTCCTCTTCTCGCTCCTCACTGTTTGTTGCATGATCCAGTCCAGTGCAGTCGACCACAATCAGGAAGATGATGGGTGATAGTAGGTGGCAGCCTTGTCTTACTCCTATCTTCACTTCAAAGGCATCACTGAGCTTCTCATTGTGAATTACTTGTTATGTGGCGTCTTCATATAGCTGTTGAATGAGATTGATAAAGGTTTGTGGTATTTCATAGTGTTGACGCAATTGCCAAATTACTTCTCGGTCGACGTCTCGATCGAAGGCCTTTTCAAATTGGATGAAGTTGAGGTGAAGCGTTGACTGCCATTCTATACTCAGTTCTATGATGATGCGCAGTGTTGCGTTGCAATTCGGTTGGTACATGATTTGTACTTCCTGAAGCCTGCCTGTTCTGGTCGTAGTTTTGAATCCAGTGCATCCTTTAGTCTCTTCAGGATGATGCGTGGATTGGAGAGGCATGGATTCCGCGGCATGATTCCGCGCCAGTTCTTGCAAAGACTAAGGTCTCCCTTCTTTGTGAGTTTGACAAGGTAACCCTTCTTCCAATTTGCAGGTACCTTCCTTTCCTTCCAGACCTCTTGCAATAGTGGTATGAGCATGTCCGGAACACTACATATATCTTTTAATTAAATCCGAATGATTAAATTTCAATAGGCTTACCAACAGAACTCTACGTAAACAAACATCTCACTTGCAAATTTTGTAACCTTAACTTGAAATGTGAAAGGCGACCATATACTGTCTATATAGTCGTGATATAACTGGGAAGATCTCATAAATACTTATTCTATTTAATAGTACATATAACAGCCAAGTTATACATCAAATAAATAATAGTTAATTGACTAACTTGTCGGAAGAATTCTTCGCATAATATATCGGACCATTGTTCGTGTAGATTCCATTCTTTCGCTGGGTGTGATATATCCGCACAGTGGACAATTAACGATAGGGCTTTTGTTTTATCAATACTAACAGGAAATTATTTAGAAAAACAGGTACAAGAGTCATGTTAGCAATTACTCATGATTATTGTATTCATGTAAATGCTTTTACAGTGAATCAAAATCATGTGAGTGCTGAATAAAGATAGATAAAGTAATGTTGAGTAATTATTTTATCTTAGTTTGAAGTTCATGGGGATTTTATCTATTCCAAGGTACCATTCGTTTTGGGATGGTGTTGTTTGAAGAATCCTTAAAAACTTGAGAGCCCTGGATAACCATTTCGTTTTAGTAAGGGACTTCTCAGCAATTTGCACCCATGACCCCAGTGGGGATCGAATGCTGGACACTCGGATGTCGTGGGGAAAGCATCAACTGCTGAACCATTGGGTTAAAGTTTGGTATAAGTAATGAGCCTATTTCTTCGGGTATCAGTTAGCAGCTAGCACATGATGCTTTGGGTGGATGCAACTGCAATCCCTCACAACATGCGAAATCAGCAAAAACGACTGTTATTCAAAAGATTGTCGCAAACTATGTCCTAACAAAAAAGATATTGAATGGTCATGGCCCACGTTTTAGGAGTGAAGTGTTTGTATCTCGCTTGTAACATCTGGGTGTTAAGAGGATAAGAACAACATCTTACTAATAGGTTGACAGAAAAGAACAACCATATCCTCAATGAATGGCTGCCTGTCTACTGAGGTAAATGGGGAGCACATCATCTGTCACTACAGAGAACTACAAAGAAACTACTGTTTTAGTTGATTTATGACAAGAGAAGAAGAATAATAGTGGAGAATAAGACCTGGTTGACACCGTGATCGTGATATCTGACAAGATGGCGAAGCAAGCGAAAACAAGCTACAAAGAATGCCAAGGAAAAAGTCAAAGACAGATTCAATGAAATCCGAACGCAAATCAATGATGAAGTAGAAAACTATGACGTAGATGATCACGTGAAGTGTTTGGCACAACAATTGACTTTAAGCTGCGGACCAGGATAACTGAAACTTCTCCCGAAATAGGAACGCCTAAAGGTGTTCATTCCGCTGGACCGGGGAAAAGAACCTAGAAGATTTGGATTTCACCGTGACTTCTGTCTAATGTCGCACAAACTTCAAGATCTACAAGCGAAAACTAACAAGTTGACAGAAGAGGCAGGCTAGTGCAGGGCAGCGAAAACGGGACTTCAAGTGAATGTAGAGAAGACAGAGTTGATGAAGATACCCAACCACCAATAACAACAACAAAAACAACAAGCTGCAGTCACCATCAATGGGAGAAACTTAAAGGAAGTAGCCTCCTCCACCTATCTAGGCAGCGCTGTTTCAACTGCAGGCGGCACAGGCACAGACGACGACGTCAAAGTCAGCCAGGATCGGAAAGACAGCAAGACAGGTGTTCATTAACCTGAAACCAGTGTGCAGATCTTCTGCACTCAGCATAAAGTGTGAACAAGATCCGGATTTTCAACACCAATTCAGTGAAGTCAGTGCTTCCATATGGTTGAGAGACTTGGCGAGTTACGAAAGGGATTTCCAACAAATTACAGACATTCATCAACAACTGCTTACGCTGGCTCGTTACTGAAGATCAGATCAGATCAGATAGCCAGAATAATAAGAATAAGCAACAAGGAACTCTGGTAAGGAACGAACGAAGGAAGAAGCTATCGCTGAACAAATATGCAGAAGGAAGTGGAGATGAATTGGGCATTCACTGAGAAGGCCGACTGGGGACATCACACGCCAGGGTTGGGTCGTCGAGTGGAACCCAGATGGGAGGCGACGAGTTGGTCGTCCGAGGTGAGGGTGACATGGAGGAGATCGTGAGAGGAGGAAATGAGAGCTTGTGGGCTGTCGTGGAACCAGGTTCGAAAGTTTGCAGCGAAGAGAGTGGAATGGAGACGTGCTACTGAAGCCCTGTGTTGCATTAGGAACCCAAAGGATAAATAATAACAATAGGTGTTCATAGGGAGACATCGTTCAGTTTCTACCATTAGGCGAAACAGTAATTGATAAAGTCTAAATGATGCTCAGTTTCGGAAGAAGCAGGGCGGGAAACTATGAAGAAGAAGTTACCCATAAACCGACTGTCAAGACTACTAAGGTGTTTGCCTTTTCAGTAGTGAAAGCAACGTTATGCTCTAGCAGACTTCTCTTCACTACATGCTTAGCATCTTTCGAAGCCTTTTCATATTTTGTACAAAATTCACTTAAGCTATGCAAAAGAAGTAGAAATAAGTCATCTTGACAAAATTGAAGCCAGTTCAAACTCCTAAATCACATTCAAACAAGTACTTGTATACCCCTTCTTTGTCACAGCCATTATGGAATTTCGATCCTTCTCAATAATCCCCTTATGATGTAATTATTTTTCATGTTTTATTCATTTTTTTATTCTCCTATTCTAAATCTCTATCTGCATTATATAACTTCCTTTTTATTTATGAATTATATCTTGATTCTGTAATGTTATAGCCTTTGCTATCTGTGTTCATGGATGAACACCTGGCATATAAGCTTACTTGAACTACTTCTGCTTTATGGTTAGCTTTAGTGTTAATGGAATTAAGCAATAAGAGACAGCAATCACACAAAATTTCTATTCTCTGCACGTCAAACATAAGGGTCCCACGGAGTCTTACGATTACTTTTTCCTAGCTATCAACATGTGATTACTTCTGGGAAATTAATTAATGGAGTCTCACTAAACACACTGAAAATTACTTTGAGATGTAACTGAAATCTTATTTTCAGTATACTTATGTAGTTACCAATAACAAAATGTACTATGATTCCCCATTGAATATTTCAGTGGTTCTCAGTGCTTCATTTCATTTTAATAATAAAATATACTTTTTTCCGTTGAAATCAAATAAGGCTTAACAACTCAAATTATCCAGTTAATGTATCCAGACCAGCAACGATTTGGTTTCGAGTGTCCTGAGAAAAAGCGAGCCGCAATTTTGATTTATGCTATTCGTCAATACATATTCTGCTGAAGGAGCAGTAGCTTACATATCGAAACTATTAGAAATATCTTATTTTACTTTCCTAAACACTCGGGAATCATATTGAAATGTACGTCGATAATGGTTTGATATGTTTAGAAGAGCTTGAGAACCATGGTTCAGAACAACATAAGAAAACGACTCTTGGATCTGAAACCCAACTTTTACTCGTACAGTTGACCACAGTGTCACAACATAAACGCTTAGCACCGAATATATTATGAATAAAGTAGTGTAGTAGAAGGATTTTCAGTCAGTATCGTGAAATTTAAGTAAGCAAGAGACCCTGCATACTATTCTGAGCTTTATTATACCAGTCACTAATGTTTTCCCTGTTTGTTGAGTGTTTAGTCCATCTATTCTGTTGACCTCAGAAGCATATGAACAGATTCGTAAAGCTTCTGAGATGGCCCTATCTTTATGAGAAAGGAAGGCCTTTCGCAAGAGATTTGCCCTTTCAAATTATATCTTGTGATCTGAGTATGAGGTATGAGCTTCAATGACAAAGCCTTTTTCCCATTTCAAGGGAACTTTCAGACTTCTGTTTTCAACCTCAACGATGTTCGGTTAGACGTATTTACACCTGATATAACGTCTTTCCAATGCATGTAATATCATATTCATTACCGTAAAGAAGCAGTTATCTTGATGAAGATGGGCAGTCGAGTCTCTCACTTTCGAAAGTAGAGTGTTCTTCCCTTCAGATATGGTAGCAGTTTTTGGTATACCTTGTTTCTTCTGATGCGCGAGTACGAGAACGGAGTATTACGGTACTTTTCAAAACTTTATGAGTTAATTTTTAACATTTTTTTGATAAACCTCGTTTTCTACCTCTTAGCAACTTCCACGGGCACTTGTTTTGTTTTAATACTATCCAAACAAGTCGCCTGTCTGCTTTTTGGAAGTCCAGCATATTTTGTAACTTTAGCGAGCTCATCAAAAGATGTTTCAAAACATTTAACTTGGTTTCTAGTGTTCAGCTAACCTGAAGTCAAATGATTTTTTTAGAATGTGTATCTTTTCGCCAGACATCAAAATCAAGTGAACCATCACAGCTTCATATGTTCCTGCAGTCCAGGAAAGCTAAACTTTTGAGTTAAACCTCTAATTTATCGGTGGATTTTATGAAGATGAAGCGGCTATTCAGTCATTCGAAACATTTACTAAGACCTCTTGTTTCGGTTATGACAAATTATATTCCTGAGAAAGATCGTATATAGTTCAGTTGCGCTACACTGACTGAACTTGTGTCTATCACATTACACTATCTGACTGATACGTGACATATTCAACTTGCTCCTGATAATAATTTGTTCTTACTCCTTCCTGATGACTTATAACTCCACAGCCGAACAAAGTTCCTCACCTTATCTTTGTACTATCTTACTGGCACAATTTGAATGAGCTTAGTTCAACCAGTTGTTCAAACACTCAGTCAAGTTATATTGTTCTTGGTTCTATATGACGATTTAATTGAGTGAATGGAGAAAGGTGATGTTCTCTATCAGACTTTAATACCAATCTGAAAGTTCAATATCCGATTCATACTCTTCAATTGGGTCTTCTTAGCAAGATTGCTATGTTGAAGATTGAAATAAACTGTTTATTAGTTGTTGTTTATTCTAATATGCTACCGCGGCATTACACATATGAAATGCATTTAATACAATGAGTTTTTTTAATGAGTCAATAAATGACCCCATTATGAATTAGTTGACTTTGTTTAATATTTAAATGAAAGACATTGATTTTAGGGTGCAATATGGGTAAATATTCACTTTCCAGCTTCCGTCCTCATCATCGTCTCCAGTTAACTAAAATAATGAGCAGGGTTTTTTCAAACAGAACTGGGGATAAACTATTGCTATACAGTAACAACCGAGATCTTCAGGTCGATGGATACAGAAAGGAAACGTTAGTATCTGTTCAAAGTCTCAGGTCATTGTCTTATTTTTTAAGAAAATAATTATTTCAACTACTTTGTTAAACTAATCTTGAGTAGTATTGCTTAAGAATGGTGTTTTCTATGTACTTGGATTATTGTCATCTCGACTGTAGTATCTCTTGAAAAAGGAATCTGATATCACTATCCACTTAAAATATCTCACGGTTAAATGTTACACAACTTTCAGAAAAAATTGTGATAAGAAGTATACTACTTAAAAAATGATAGTAGTCAAAAATATATCAATCAATTAAAATCACGCGAGTTGTTTGGACTTACCTTTCTGGCATACATATCATACTTTTCATATTTTTAATTTGTTGGAAATGAAGTGACATATCCGTACACAATACCATATCAATTACGAGTTGACGGAATTCTCTATGAATAGAAGAATAAAGTTTCAAGTGATGGATTCACAAATCAGTGTACAGTTGAATCAAATTAATATGATTAGATAAAGTTAGTTTTAGATTGATAGTATTCTATGTGAAGTATATTTTCCAATTTAATAATGGCATTGGAACTCCTTATCTGGTAGTCCATATGACAGTTGAATTGTTTAGTTTCTGGGCAGCCATTTGCAATTCATTGTGTTCTGAGTACAATATCCACTAACTTATTTTTCGAGGGAGTTGTGGAGATTTGGAAATATTTCAAGTCGTTATTCATCGAAGACTGACATCAGTTGGAGGAACAAAGGAAACCTGGGAGCACTGGACAGCTGTCTCGTCCTAGTTTGAGACTCCTCAGCAGTGCGCACCCATGACCCCACCAGCAGGGGTCGAACCCGCGGCCAGCGCGTTACCACTGAGTCAGAATCTAATGCTCCATATTTCCATCTTCTGTTAGCTCACGATATAGCGCAAACCGCCACCCAATGTCATCGTTGAGTATCTGTCCTCACGGCCATCAGGCTTTGACTCCACCGGTCACGACTTGTCATTGGAACTTCGGGAATACTTCTCGAAGCTAGTCACCAATGAGCACCAGTGCGCAGAGAAAACAAAAGTTGGAAATATGGAGCATTAGATTCTGACTCAGTGGCTCAATGGTAACGCGCTGGCCTCGGAAACTGAAGGTCCTGACTTCGATCCCTGCTGATAGGGTCGTGGGTGCGCACTGCTGAGGAGTCTCGTACTAGGACGAAACGGCTGTCCAGTGCTCCCAGGTTTCCTTTGTTCCTCCAACTGATGTCAGTCTTCGATGAATAATAACTTGAAACTTATTTTTCATCTCCTGATTATACGTCCTCTATCGAAGGGTGGATCAAAATCGTTAGAGCGTCAAGTATATGCGAAGATAAATTCCATTTGAATACCGTATTGAGATTAGCTACTGCTGCAAATATATAGCTTTCTACTATGAATATAACAAGGCAGGTGATCATTTCTCGGTCGGTGCATTCAGATTCCTCTGAGATACACCAGTTATGTTATACCTAGTTAGCTACAACGAAATAAGTGAGCAAACTACTTGACTCAGTCACTTACTGGTTGACAGCTGAAACAATCCAATATAGAACTGAAAAAGTAGATGTTTGCTTTGTGCATCTTGGGTAAACCATATAAGTTTGGGTGTTCACACCCTACTGGCTTTAACGAATGAAATTCCTCTTACTTAATGACATTCATGTGAAAGAGTTTAACTTAAGTTGCAGTTACTTTTCTTACTAATTTTCTAATTTCTTCTGTCGGATGGCTCTCAATGAATTCATTTCCTTCATTTAGAATAGATAACATTTTCTCTTTATAATCTTGAATATTCACAACAACTACACTAGATTGCTTATCGAATTTAAAGGAGGACTATCATTTCTATTCCATAGTCTGTTCAGTGTATTGAAGTGCTCTGAAGTCAGGATTGGTTATCTCTGATTAGAACCAGAGCTACTGACATCATGCAAGATATCGACAAATTTGGCTTTCATCCAGCTTTGATTTTCATATGAAGTTGAAACAAGTAAACTCAACTGATTGTAAAGATGTTCAAACTGAGTATCAATTACCATTTTGGAAATTTTTGTTTGTGGAACAAAAAAGTTAAATCCAAGAGTCAAAGGTTCTTTAGCAATAATAGTTAGCTGAATAGATGATAAAGTTTATAAAAATCCACGATGTTATCAGGGGATTAATTGTTTCAAAACTGGATGTGATAAAAACATTTACTGGCCGAGAAGTTCACTACAAATGTGTTAATCAACCACCGGATACCTGGATCATTCCAACTTGGTTTAAGAAATCTAGGCAGTTCTTGACTATTTCATTTGTTGCAGACTATAGCCTACGGTCACAGATGAGCTCTATCATTTAAGCTTTTAACTAGGCCTACTTTAATTGAAATGGGGTGGGATGATTCGAAGTCTAAGTAACGATTCGGATGGGTAGGTAGTCTGGGATTAAAGTGGCATTCAAACCAACAAACTTGCTTAGATCCCATCAATGCAATTCAGCAAAAGAATCCGGTTTACCAGATCCCTTGCAATGATTGCGAGGTCAAGTACATAGGTCAAAGCAGTCTACTAGTGTCGATTTGAATAACACAGCACAAAAACTTGGCTAAATCAAGATCAGTAGATCCTAATAAGATAAGAAATCTAGAGAAAAACTCGGCCATAGCTCTCCATGCGATGACACACAATCACACAGTAGGGTGGGATAGAGTGACAGTGTTGAAAACTAACTTAGTTGGGTGAAGGGAGAGATCGATAACCGACTGAATCTTTGTTTATCGAATCGACACCAAACACATGCAATCGAAATGATTCTGCACCTGTCCCAGATATATGGAAAATTCTACTACCCTTGTCATCATAGAGAAGGAGAGAAAATTAGGCATATATAAAGACTATCTCGAAGTTGTGGAGTTAGTTACCTGATATGAATATGGACAATAAATTGTGTCCGAAACATTATCCAGTAAATGATACTGTTTCACTGTGTGATATTTCTAATAAACAGACTAAAACCTTACAGGCACTTTTTAGAGGTGTGTTACTACATTTCTAGCTATTCGAATAGAACATATTAGAAGTTGCATACCACTTATACAGATCAAGTAGTCGCATCAGTTAACCTATTTTAGTTTTAATCCTGAAAAGCTCCTTTTCATATTTTTAGTCAAATTTTCAACAAATTCTTCGAATAGATTGAATTTTTTCGAGGTTAAATTATTCAGAAAACATGTACTGAATCAGTTACATCAACCAAGAGACTCTGTTAACTTGATAGCTTTGTGGATAATCCTCTAACGTTTACAGTGATGTACACTGGGTTTGTCTGTCTTTGGTGATATCATCATATTAGGATATGGATATATTCAACTGATGAGCTCGAAATAGTGTGAAACATGCATGTTGTTTTACACTTCAAGTCACTATTATAAAATATTTCAATGTTTGTTAAAAATGTTTCTAAAAACTCAGATAAATCGACCATTTTCGAAAAAGTTGATTGCCAAATTAAGACTATTTTAGACTTAGGAAATTGAATCATTCAGAATCATAGTGCCAAATACTTTGCTCATCTCCATATCTACCATTAGGTTTTTTTTGACATTCCTTCTCTGTTTCATTCTTAATTATGACGCTTGGTGGACAGGGTGTAAGTCAGCCTAGTCTTCAACGAGTGTAATAATATAATATCAAGTTTTAAATACAATAATTGGCCGATGAGAAATTATTCATTTGAATAAAACGCAATTGGGACAAGTGATGTTTTCAGTAGTGGAGGCGATAATACCGCCACCGCTTAAATTCTTGAACTATTCCACTCGGGAAATTAGTTTTTTACGAATTACTTATAAAAAAAAACGCTGTGTTCTACACAAATGCTGCAATGAATACTACTTATATCAGTAGTATATATAGTAACATTAAAAACATAAGAGAAATAATGATAATTTGCTTCCTGATGAAGATTCTGGAGACAAATAGACAGAATACGAAGTTCAAATATAGACGATAAACACTGTACACTTCAAGGCTGAAAAAGAGAATGTTTGCAAATGTGTCTTTACAAATTATAATTTCTTAAATAACAATTTTCGTTGTACAATTTGTCTTCTCTCGATTGCACAAAATGACTGGAAATCTTTTCATCTCAGTACACTCATTACTAACAAATTGACGTCGGATTAAATTCTAGAATAGTGAAGAATATTTGTAGCTCAGGTGGATAGTCTTGGTTGTATTGTGTTCTCTGAGCTGGGTTGTTTAATCGTGAGGCTTTCATCGTCCTTCTACACGACATCATCAGCACTAACTTCAGTATGAAGTGAGCTGTCAATAGTCTATTCTGTTTTAATGAAATATGTTCTAATATTCATAAAATTCACTGTCAACTCAATTTTGTTTTGATATAAAGTTTCACTTACTTGAATTGATCAACATCTAATCCACTTAGGATAGAGAATTCTTCTTCTTGCATAAGACGGAAAACTGAACTGACATGATGATTCTCCAATACACCACGATCATTATAGATTAAAGCTAATTCAGAACTAAGAAAACAAAAAAAGATAAATATTTATAAATGGGCATAATCAAATTATTGGTGATGATTTATACAACTAAGCAACTAAGTGCAGATGTGAACAATGGATACCGACTTCGGTAGGTTAGGCGAGGTTCATGACCCACTAGTTGAAAGTCGACTTTCTACGTCAGTGATTCACTACCATACATGAAGGTTAAATGAAGCATGATAAGCGGTTAGCGATGATATACATCATAAATTTATACTCATTTCAACTAACTAGAGAATATTTAATGGTTGTTCCACCTTACCATCAGGTGTTTCACTGAAGAAAACACTATAAGTGAACTAAAGAATCAATTTCAGTAGAGTGTAAGTTATCTGGAGGAAGTCATCGGTGCTTATAGACAGAAAAATGAAGGATAAGTGATTGATTCCCTTTATCTACTTAAACAAAGCAAGGGGAAAATGTATATATTTCGTTGATAATGAAAGTTAGTAAAAAGTTTAAAAGTGGAGAATGTTAAAAGAAATCAGGTATGGAGGTTAAAATAACGATGAAAATCAAAGTGGTACATTAATCTTTGCTTTGAACTCGAATTTAGCAAGCAAAGTTGAATGTGATGAGCATTCATTTTGAATAAATAAAGGTGACCTTATCTTTATAACAACTAAAGGCTTGACAAATTTTGATGATATGTTTCCAACAGGTTTTGTAATTAGATGTGAAACATGAAAAACCATCTACTAAATTATTTATTTATTTGTCACTTGGGTGGAACATAGCGCTTCATTAGCACGTCTCTAGCGCACTCTGTTCTCTGCAATCTTTTGAACCTGGCTATAAGACAGCCCACAAGCTCTCATTTCTTTCTCACATGATCTCCTCCATGTCACCATCACCTCGGATGCCCAACTCGTCGTTTCTCATCTGGGTTCCACTGGAGGGTCTGGCGAGTGATGTCTCTGAATGGTCTTCTTCTACATATTTGTTGAACGATAGGTTGTTGGTTGGTTCACTGCCAGAGTTCCTTGTTGCTTATTCTTATTATTCTGGCCATCTGATCTGATCTTCAGTAACGAGCCAGCGTAAGCAGTTGTTGATGAATGTCTGTAATTTGTTGGAAATCCCTTTCGTAACTCGCCAAGTCTCTCAACCATATGGAAGCACTGACTTCACTGAATTGGTGTTGAAAATCCGGATCTTGTTCACACTTTATGCTGAGTGCAAGAAGATCTGCACACTGGTTTCAGGTTAATGAACGCCTGTCTTGCTGTCTTTCCGATCCTGGCTGACTTTGACGTCGTCGTCTGTGCCTGTGCCGCCTGCAGTTGAAACAGTACCGCCTAGATAGGTGGAGGGAAAAAGCTTACTTTCTTTAAGTTTCTCCCATTGATGGTGACTGCAGCTTGTTGTTTTTGTTGTGGTTATTGGTTATTATTGAAGTCCCGTCTTCGCTGCCCTGCACTAGCCTGCCTCTTCTGTCAACTTGTTAGTTTCGCCTGTAGATCTTCAAGTTTGTGCGATATTAGACAAAAGTCATCGGTGAAATCCAAATCTTCTAGGTTGTTTTCCCCGGTCCAGCCAGCGTATTCCCCTCTTCTCGCTCCTCACTGTTTGTTGCATGATCCAGTCCAGTGCAGTCGACCACAATCAGGAAGATGATGGATGATAGTAGGTGGCAGCGTTGTCTTACTCCTATCTTCACTTCAAAGGCATCACTGAGTTTCTAATTGTGAATTACTTGTTATGTGGCGTCTTCATATAGTTGTTGAATGAGGTTAGTAAAGGTTTGTGGTATTCCATAGTGTTGGAGCAGTTGCCAGACTACCCAATGACTTGCCTGAATGGTATGCTTCTCAAATGAAAAGATTGGTTATCGGTTACCAGCTTCATGGACAAAAGTGTATATGCAACCCATGAAATGTCTACTTCTTTGGAAACACTAATCTCCATTGCTCACAGCTGGCAAATGAAGTTGACGATAGTTTATTTGAATTAAAAGCGTGCTAGACATAAAGACTTTCAGTTAAGTTTGCAGCCCCGTCACTCAACATCGTCTTTATTTAGTAGTTTCCTGTTTTGCTTGAAAAAACTTTCCATTACCTTCTATCAGAGGACTTGTTAAGAGTAGGTTATTCAAAGTGACTAATGATGTGAACTATGATTTACTTACCGATATATTTGAAAGTAATTGCATCCCACACTTGAACGTTTTGCAACTGCTTACACTCTAACTCAAAAGTCAACTAGGACTACTGAAAAGCAGGCAGTCGACAAATGTTTTACATGCAAAAATCGGGTAAAAAAGCAATTGGTAACACCCACATAGTTAGTAGATACATGACAACTCCTGTACTTCATTGATATATGATAAACATGGTTTCGCTACGCCAATAGTCCATTCCCTATAGTCAACGAGTAGCCTTTACGAAATACTGTTGCCATATCTCTTTCTTACTCTTTCTGTGTTCGACAGTCATAGTCCAAGGCATGCTCTGAAGCTTTTCTTAGTCCAACCAAGTATGTTATGAGCATACCTTCTTTGTCGAAATTACTACTGAAGGCACTATCTTTACAATAGGCACAATCATGCTAGATGACATTCCATTTTAGTTGGTTTATGAGATGCATCATGGTGAAATAGTACTATTTATTAGATAATATTTCTAAAACAACATATTGGCCATAGTTAACTTGTTTCGCTCAGTTACTCGTCACTAACTAAAATTCTGATCTATCTGGATAGTCTTTGGTCGTTAAACGGTTACTTCCAGAAAGCTGCCCTTCAGTAAGATATATCCCACAAATATTCTGCAACGGAGCACACCGTTTAAGACGGCCACCTTCACCCTTCGGACCTTGATACAGATCAAACCATAGGTAGGTTTAACCAGAACTCTAAAAAGCCTCACTATTGACCTGTCTTGTATCTTAGAGACACATATATAAGATCACAGTGAAGTGCCACGGATAGTTTCACTGTCTATCAGCTAAAAATTCTATTCTTACTGTGCACTTATCCGGGAATATTGTGAAATTAGAAACCAGTCCTGTTGACGTTAGTATCACGCTAATCTCCGGAGCCGAATTTGTACTAGGCAGTTGGATCCCTATAAACAGTAGTCTGTGTGGCATCAGGTTAGAATTTTTGATTCAATTTAGGAGTGACTGGCGATTGAAACAGTGTCTCTTCGTCATCTCTGACTACCCCCAACTGACTACTGCCTGGATACAGTTCAGGATGAGTTCTACCATCGACTGAGTGGCATTTTCTATCAGGCGCGGTTGACAGGTTCTGTAGTAGTAGCTGGGGGCTTGAATATACTGGTCAAGCGCATGGGCTCATAGGAGGGTTATTTCAGTGACCAGTGAAGAATGATCGGTCTCCAAATGGGATAACAGAAAACACCTGAAGCTCTAGGTAGATCACAACCTGTTTCTAGCTAGCATCAACTTCCGGCGGAGCCACTGCATCGTGCTAGGCGAAATGCCTCAGAAAACAGTGTATCTGGCCTACTTCCCCTGCAATATTGACATCGATATCTTGTACTCTATGGTCAGTTAGCACATAACCACCTAATGAAGCGGATATACATAAGGAAATCCAAGTCCTAAAGTCCTATAATGCATCCAGCTCAGAAAAGCTGCACTCAGCTTCTTTCAAGCATGAACGGGAAGTTGTAGTTAAATGTATTGGAGACGTCGATTATTGTATTCACCTGATATTTTGACCGCCTTTGATTCGTTGGACAGGGTGACCCTCTAAGATTGTCTGTTAGGGAGGATTGTCTTTAAAAATCTTGTTAACGTGTTGAAAGCCTTAAACTTCAATACCTGAGATGGAATGAAGGCATACTTAAATTTCTCAATTGTTCCAAACCATAAATTGGGACAAACAGAGCTGTCTGATTTAATCATTTCACTTCAAAGTTGTCAGTAGTGTCATTCTTGAGACAGCTGTGAGGAAAGTGTATAGTGATGGTGTACAGCTATCACCAGGCAAAAACTTACGACCTTGAACACAATAACCATGTAGTTTCAATGTGGGACAACACACAGGTTACACAAACTATACTCAGTTATTAGGCGATTAGTGCCTATTAGTATGGGATGTACCTTTCACCATCGAAGTGCAAAGTGCTTCTGCGGGATTTTCAGGAGTCTGTATCTGCACTCACTCTTTATCGTGAACCATCGGAAGTTGTTATGAGTTTGCAGATATTAGCAGTTATGTGAGAGTTGGTGTAGTTTTGACTGATGAGATTTTCGACTTCATGTTGAAGGTCAAAGGTGCATACTACACTTTGGGTCACCCTAAGTGCCTTCATGATGCTAACCCTGCTGTGAAAGGTAGGGCATACAACGCACTAGGGTAGGCGGTTCTGCTCTATGCCTGTGAAATTTGACCTGTTCAAGTAGTGGACCTCGAGTGACTTCGTGTTTCCAACCATCGTTGTTTTCGTAAGACTGCTCACATCAGTGAAAAACAACATATAGGCAATTTTGTGGTAGGTGGTTTGTGCTTGGGTGTGATGGAGGTCGTCATTTATTGAATGAAGTCATTCTGAAACAGGTTCAGGTGGCCTGAATGTGCATATCGTGTGTTGTCCCAGTGGCCGCCACACATCTCATAGCTTGCTTGCTCTAGAATTTCTTGGAAGAAGTGGAGAGGTGACCAGTGTATAACGCGGCTTCATGGGAGGGAGGATAGTCGTGTAGTGTTATTCATTGTTGGTACCTAAGAACTTCGTGGATGGAATTAGAGTCATTAGGCATCTCATTAGCTTGAGACGATATCAAATACGGCTAGGAAGTGAAATCAGCCGCGGTTATGCTCCAGCATTCTTATTTATCCGCTTATCGAAAAGTATAGCGAAAGTAGTCAGTGCTTCTTTGTACATATGTTTATGACTGCTTTTATAATAACCAATTTTTATTTTTATTTCCGTTCTTCCTTTGATTTTTTGTATCTTCCTAGAGGTTTTGTGTCATTTTGTTTAGTGAATCCTTTGGTACCCATGTTGCATCATGCTTACATTGTAAGTAAATAACAAACAGAACAAATTTCCAGTGCTTTAATGTTACTAGCCATCGATTGACATTTATGGATATGCTAAAGACAAACCACTCAAAGTTCTATCTAAAATATAGAATAATTAAAAACGTAACGGGTTTGTGGATTATTATGGTAACTTTACCTACAGTGATGTTATTGCTTGTAATTTTCAGTCGTCGATTGGACCGAATTGCTCAGTTTCTCTTAGCATATGGGCTCCTACGTGAACGCCTCAATATTGCCTGTAGTTTCACATCAGTAGCAATGATAGAGAGTGTCTAACAGATGAATCCAGGATGTGCGTTCCATTCTATTTCGGACTCACCAGCTGGATGTACCTGCCTCACAGTAAGCGATGTTATACCACCAAGACTCGAACTGGAGACGAATAGCTTCCATCAGCTAAGCATTATCCACTAGGCCACTGAGTCACGAATTCAACTTCTCATGTGATGAATATAATTCATATGATGTTGCCTGTATTAGCCCATCGTTGATTGGACCATAGTGATCCTAGTGACCTAGGAGATAACGTCCTGGTGTTTGAAGCAATTGGTCCCCGGTGTGTGTCTTAATGGGGACAAAATCACTCATTCAAAGGTTGGTACATTCAGGTGAAGAGTGCCAAATAGGACGAAGACCACGTCCTGGATTCCACTCCTAGCCACTAGCTGCCACTGATACCAAGACTGAAAATACAGGGAATACCGTGGCATCCACACAGGAGCCCATATGCCAGTAGAGAGCAATCAATTTGATTCGATTAACGGCGGGATAATACAGGCAACATCAAATACATGTGTTGGTAGTTCTTACCGCATCCGTATTGGTTATGTTAGTATGTAGGGGTAGCTTCAGATCAAGTTAAATTACATTTTACTCCCTCATTCCTATTTACACAGTTAAAATGAATAGTTATCTATCCATTCGGAAATAGAAAATTAAATTAAATCATATCGCAAAGGTACTCCGAAATCCTCGGCCTCAGCAATAATTACCCCATACCTGTCACGCACCTCGAATGAAACTAGTAGAATGGTCAATAAGTACAATACCAGAGTGTTCTAGAGAGCATAAAACAATGCATAGCACCTTAGTTCATTTGAAGGGTGAGAACCCTCGAGATTAACACTCCAGTTGTGTTTATAAAATAAAATACGGAGGCTGAGATGCAGTAAAAATAGGACAAATTTCACGTGAAATCAAAAATAGACACCGAAGGGTTTCTACCCAAACCCCTAGAAATTCATCAGAGTGGAAAAGCTTTAAAATACTCCAGTCATAGCTCTACTTTCTACAACTTAATGTCAAAAGTCGATCTTGATAATATCAAAATTATTCAGAATGAGTTGAGAAATTTTAAAGAACGTCTCGTAGCAAAATCTGTTCACATAAAATGGAATCAAAATGGTATAAGTAGAAATGAGGGAGTAAAACGTAGTTTGACCTAGTCTCAACCCACCAACATATACTGACATAACCAACATACATGCAATAAGAACTGTCTGCACATATGTGCATACAAATCTCAGTCTGTAATTCATACCCTCTTCACACATAATACCCTATATATAAATATCATATTTCTTCAACTATTTGAAAACGTGGAATCAGGTTGGTATTCACCATGGATTGGCATCAGTTGGAGAAATATTGACAACTTGGGAGCACTGGACAGCTGTTTCGTTCTAGCAGGAGACATCTCAGCGGTGCACACTCACGACCCCGTCAGGGATCGAGGACAGTTACCCAACGACGGCATTGGATGGAGGTCTCGTCATATCGTGAACTGACAGAATTAGGAAACATCGGCCACTGGTTTCCAACTCAGTGACTCAGTTGTAACGTGCTGGCAGCGGAACCTGAAGGTCCTGGTTTCTACCCCTGCTAGGGTCATTGGTGCGCACCCCTGAGCAGTCCTATACTATAGCGAAACAACTATTCAGTTCCCCTAGATTTCCAATGTTTCTCTAAATGATGTCAGTCTATGATGAATACTAACCTGAAACTAAGTCCCTACGTACCTCCAAATTGAACGTGGAATCATTCATACAGAAGAACACATATCAAGTAATCATGTATAAGCTTGGGGGATATTGTAAATTCCTGTCAACTTTAACTTTAATAAAGCCATTACCCCTTAGATCTAGTTTCATCTTAAGGGTTCCAGTGAATACAAAAACTCAATAGATAGACCAGTGAATAAGTTTGAGAAGAAAGATACAAAAAATTGTAAAGGTCATAAGAAAAGTGCAAGCACAATTTACTACATTGTAGAACACGGCAAACAGGTAGCAGTGCTTTGGAACAAATGAAATGTCAGGTACAGAACAATTCTACTGAATCAACTGTAGAATATTTTACCTTTATTAAACAGTATACTGAACGTATGCTATGAATAGGTGTTTGAGTGGCAAAGAAAACGACTAAGCTAAGAACAGTAGTGCATCCAAACAAAAGTACCTGTTGTTGATCTTTCCTTGCCTTAGTTATGTAAGACTTTTAATTAATTGTATTCCACTCAGGTCAGTGCTGAAAGCTAAACGGATAGACCAGATTTACTTAGAATCCTATAGTTGGACTGAAACTTAGTTTGTCTACTCGCTTAGTTATAATGACGTGAATCACGAGTTAACTGAACTTCTGACCTTTTCGTCACACCTCATATCAAATAAAAAATTCATCCGGCTTAAGTAAATGACCATGAAGGTTACTAATAAAGATAGGTCACCTGACCGGTTTGAGGAGGTTAGATGCTACTCAGTTTGATCTTCAGAACTTGTTTAACGGGTGAAACTGGCTGATCTTAGCACTGGACACAGTACTACTCACTCCAACCAAACTGTTCATCTGTTTTAATGTTGTAGCTTGCATTGTCGGGTCGTTGAGTGGACCGAATTGATTGGCCTGTGTTAGCTATGGGCTCCTTCACGGATCCCTCTACATTGCTTCAACGACAGGATAATACAAGCAAGAACATTAAAAACCATACCCGTAGAACAAGAGTTGGATGTCCTGACTCAGTGGTCTAGTGGATGACGTTCTGGCGCTTGGAGTGGTAGATCGTGAGTCCTAATCCGCGTGGGAAGGACGTTGTTTACTGTAAGACAGATACATCAAACTGAAGGGACCAACTTCCTAGATTCTCCTGCTAGCGACTATCCATACCTAGTATTCGTCTGTTTATTTGGAAAACAAACTGGTTGGATCAAACTTCTCAGATCATCGGGATCCCATCACAGCTGACTTCAGCAAAAAAATAATAAGTAGTCGTTCTTAGGCCACAGAACTTTACGTTGAAAACCAACCGGCTGAAACCAAATGCTGCGATGAGCTGTACTCCCATCAAGATAACGATCATCCTAGGTTTCTATCATTACGATATGATGATCAAAAAGTTCTAATTCATGCAAGAAGCATCAAACTACTCGTCTAATTTAAGTAGTGCAAAATCCATTGGTTTGTAATAAGTATCAGAAATGATAACACCTGGGGTTGACTAGACATTTTCAAAGGAGAAATGTGATCTGATAACTTACCGTGTAGCTATATGGAAATTGTTAGTGGTACCAGTATGCTCGTAATCGTGTATTACAGCAGCAAATAATGTTGCGAAGATGTCCAGGTCGTTTAACCAATTCTGCTGGGTTAGAAATAGAAAAGAATAGAGAAAAAAGAACCAAAGTATTAGAATTAAACATATCTAGAATTAACTGGATATGGTTATATGATGGAGTGATTGCAAATTGTGATAGAATAACTTCTCACATGTACCAAATTTATAATCCTTTCATCCTACTAAGAAATTTTTGTTAAATATCTAGTGACAATCCAACCCACACTAGATCCTGGTATATAGCTGACAGAGGTTACCTAGTCAATGCCTGGTATAATTTCCACTTAATTAAGCTCTAGTAAATGAAGTATTTTTCCAGAAAATAGTATATTCCTGGTGAACCCATTTTTTGGCAACCACAACAGCTTCTTCGTCTGTGATGTACATTTAGGAAAATCGGAAATTCCTATAGTTTAATTAGAAGATGAAGTTTATCTGAACAATGTGATGTATAGGCACAATATATTTCAAACAATCTGATCACATATTTACTTGTCAAGTAAATATATATTAACAAGAACAAGGTATGTATCAGCGAAGAAATATTTCTTTTCAACAACATTATCAAGCTGTACAGTCGTATTTATACCCAGTAAAGTGACAGATAATTGCACAAAGAAGAGTTGCTTAGTCAATATGCAAAATATACAATAGGTGTAGATGGTGGTATTTGTTCAAGTGGAAGAGATAGAAAATGGGTCACTGAATAAGGAGGAATGAATTGATAACAAGTGGTGAGATAAGAGACAAATGTTGTCAAACGGTGATAATTAAGCTGAAACGTGTAAAATAGGTTAATGAATAAGGAATGGATTGATGTTAAAAAGTGAAATATGGTTCAAGTGTTGTCAATGAAGTGAAAATTGGTGATAATGGTGATAACAGAAGAGAAGCATACCAAAGTGAAGTGAACTGAAATTGACAAAATCAACAAAATGAATTGTTAGGGCCAAGGTAGAGAAAGTGGTTTCACAAAACATTTTTGAATGCAAAGTTTCGGTTTTTGTTCATGTATAGCTAGTACTTCAGCTATGCATAAGTGGTTGAATTGTAAATCTTTGGACTGGTTCAATTTAACTTCGTAAGTTATCCAAAAAGGATGAATCTCGAGGTGCTGAGTGTCCCAATTCAACAAGGTGTTCAGATATGGATGAAGTCGTTTCCCTTTGTTCGCCTCTGGTAAGCCAAACCGGGTAGTTTTCAGTAACACGTTTTTGGAGGGCCCGCTTACAACGTCCGGTATAGTCAGCTCCACAGGAGCATGTGAACTTGTAGATATACATAGATGTGGACATAAGTGGAAGCCTATTCTTCACGCATTGACGAATCAGACGGCGACTGGATAATATTAATCTCAGTCTAGCAGCATAGAAGCTACTATTGATACATCTTGACAGACGATTTTTCAATACTTCCGCTGTGATGTCTCCTTTGAATTCTAGATTCAGGGTTAAAATTTTCTTAGGGAGTGTAATGGGATGGGGAGTGGTTCGTTTCTTCAGATTCTTATCAATAAATCTCTTGGGGTATTAAACCGAGGAGTGGGGGACAAATACAACAGTTAACACAATAATAAGGGATTAAAATTAAGAAAGGTGAGAACAAACTGGAAGAGTGTGACATAGTTGATCCTCCGTTGATTCTTGGTAAGAAATCAAAGTTTACCTAGGTAGGTGTAGTGTAAAAACAAATTATTTTCGTACACATAAAGGTGGTTTCAATTTGTGTATGGGTATGGCTTGCGTAAATCTCACAGTGCGTTCCTGACTGACTCTTTCTATATAAAACTTTGAAAACTGTTTGAACACTAACTTTGTGACCTGTTTCTATGATATGTTTAGCTATAGATGAAGAGGGTCATCTCCCACCGGCGTTTATCACTGTTTCATACTCTATTTATTTTAAAGCCATTTAGGCACATGTTCTCCTACCCTCATGACCCAGCATGACTCGATTACTCCTCCCTATGTATGTGTGACCACATACACATTGAAATTGGTAAACACAATGGGATGTGACGTAATCATTGATGTAGTGTTTAGGATTGTGAAGAAGCATGTTTTTTGTTTTTTCCATAATGATAAGATTCGCCGCATAATATGTTTTCCTAATGGCTTAAGATTAATAAAACTAATAATGCTTTACACCCTATTTTGTCTGTTTCGTTTCCCCGCACATAAACTGGCTAACTGGTTGGCGAAAATGTTACATCCAGTTTGAAATGACTTCTGTAAGTTCCATTCAAAGAAACTTTTCAACTTATTGACTGTCTTAATAACATGAATATCCTTCGAAGTAAATTCTTTATTCACTAACATGCTGTTGTCCAAGACTATTAATATTCTCTGTGACTAAATATCTTCTAGAAGCCTCTCATTTCTTATTACTCCAACTTTTATGAGGAAGTTATTATTGTTGTGTACTGACAAAGTTCATTTCAAATTTGAAGGTTGACACTTTGGACAGGTAGTTGGTGTAGCTATGGGTAGTCCATTGGTTTGAGCCATGTACGACGATGCAGACTAGGTGGTTGGGGTCCACGGGACAAGAGGAACCAGTGGATGGAGACTCTAGGTGATATGGCTGAGAACCGAAGTCAGTGGCGCAGATGTATACACACATTATCCTCATCTTAACTAAACTACACCGAATCTCACCATTTTGTCACTCCTCTTTCCTTTCTTCTCGTACTTTATATTTCTTTTGACTGCATTCACTTATTTTCATCCTTCACCTCACTACCTTTTTACTTGATGTGCTGATATGAGATGTGGCAACTCGGACCGTTACGCAGTAATGCCTGGTCCTATGTTAATATTGATTGATTGGGTCTATTAGGACCATTACTAGCTGATATTTATACATCATATATCATTGAAGTCTCTCTTTCCAAAAGATAAGTTGATGACATCACAGTAATTTGTGAGAGATATGAGGATATGGCTTGTCTAATAAAAGGAGTTAACACCGTACAAACTCACATCAGCCTGACTTGTGAGAAAGAGAATAATAATCACCTACCATTCTTAGACATACTCCTGAGTCGACGAGAAGATGGTTCATTTAAGACGGTCTAGTTTACAGAAAGTCTATATGGACAGGACAATACCTGAATTTTCAGTTTTTGTCCAATCCCATACAATCGAGGTCTAATAAAATGCCTATTTAATGGGATCTATCTGTACATCAGATACGACGGATGAAGTTATCGACTTATAAACCGAAACACGTCTAAATGGGATGAGGCGTAATTATTCGTACAGTGTTTTGGTTTATAGTAAAGCATGTGCTTTGCTTTTCCCACAATGTTAAGCTTAGCTGAGTAATATGTTTCCTTAACGGCTGACGTTAACCTACGTCTCAAAATTATACTATTCAACTCCCCTCTCTATAGTAGAGTGATAATGATGCTTTTCTTAGGAATTCTGTAAAGAGATTGCTTCTGTGCTATCTGACTTTTACAACGCCTTATTAACCTCAACGTATATCCATCTTCCACAAGTATTTCGGTCAGTAATTTGATAACTTCATCCGTCGTATCTGATGTACAGGTCCAATAAATCCTTATAAATAGGCATTTTATTAGATTTTGGTTCTATTGGATCGAACAAAAACTGCAAAAATTCAGGTATTATCCTTTCCATGTAGGCTTTCTGTGAACTGACCGTCTTAAATGAACCATCTTCTTGACTCAGGAGTATGTCTGAAAATTATTATTATTATCACTATATGTCCCTTGGGTTCCTAGTGGAACGTACGGCTTCAGTAGCACATCGCAACTTCACTCTTTTCTCTGCAATCTTCCAAACCTCACTCCACCACTGCCCATAAGCTTTCATGTCTTCCTCACATCATCTCCTCCATGTCACCCTGAGACACCCAATTCGTCCTTCCTCATTTGGAATCCACTCGAGTGACTGGCGCGTGATGTCCGCGAATGGTTTTCTCAGTGTATGGCTAACCATCTACACTTTCTTATGCATACATCTTTCGCGATGGCTTCTCGCTTCGTTGGTTCGTTGACAGGCCAGAGTTCCTCCTTGCTTATCTTTTCTGGCCATATGATCTGATCTTCAGTATGGAGTGAGCGTAGGAGGCAGCTGCTGATAAATATCTGTAGTTTGTTCGAAAAGCTTTTCGTAACGTGTCAAGTCTGTGAATTATCACCCAGATTCACTGACTTGACATTGGTGTAGAAAATACGGATCTTGTTCTTTATGCTGAGTGCAGTACAGTGGAGTAGATCTTCACACTGATTTCAGACTGATGAAGGCCTGTCCTATTTGCTTTCCTATCCTGACTTTGACGTCCTCATCTGTGCCTGTGCCGAAACCTGTAGTTGAAACGATGCGGCCTAGGTGGGTAGGTGAAAGCGACAACTTTCTTTAGACTTCTCGTGTTGATGCTGCTTGTTGTTGTTGGTAGTTGGGTGTCTTTATCACCTGTGTCTTCTCTACGTTCACCTGAAGGAAGTCCCGTCTTCGCTACCCTGCCTCTGCTGTCAACTTGTTGGTCTTGCCTGTACATCTTCGAGTTTGTGGGACATTTGACATAAATCTTCGTCGGCTAAAACCAAATTTTCTTTGATCCTATCATCGGTCCAGCGTACGACCATCTTCGATGAAGTTGAAGTAGAGGGTTGACTATCATTCTATGCTATGTTCTATAGTGATGCGTTGCATAGTTCTGCAATTTGATCGGCACATGGTTTGTACTTCCTGAATCCAGGCTGTTCCGGTCGTAGTTTTGAATCCAGCGCATCCTTTAGTCTCCCCAGGATGATGCGGCTTAATATTATGCTTGTTGTGGACAGCAACATGATTCCGTGCCAGTTCCTGGCAAGACTTAGGTCCCCCTTCTTTGTGAGTTTGACAAGGTAGCCCTCCTTCCAATCTGCAGGTACCTTTTTTCCCTTCCAAACCTTTTGCAGCAGTGTTCTGGTGGTGTGTCCGCTGTTGTCTCTGAGTCTATTTTCAGTGCTTCTCGGGGACTTCCATCTGGTCCTGCTGCTTTTTCGAATTTCAGAG